ATAGTATCAAACAAATAGATAGAAAAATTGTCAGGTGAGCATGTATCTTGTGGCAGCCAGGCTTCCCCATTATTGAATGAAAACATTTCTAGTTTGAATGGATTTTGTTGGATGTGAATGGTGACTTGATTATATAATTAAAAAGTAATTTGTGATGTCATAGGAAACATGGCGTTGTGATCACTTTTATCCTTGATGAGAAATTGTTGTGAATATCTCGAATAGGTCACACCAATAAAATGTCCAATTATCTATAAAAAGAATCACGGGAGCTTATAGGATTGTATTGATTCTACGTCAGATGAACAGAATCTAACGGTGTAGGCTGGGATATAAGGAAAAAAAGGGGGATCTGCTGCTTGATGTGGTTATAGAGAAAATTAAAACAGGGAAAAATCATTTGTATTTAATATTGGTTTTTCCATAAGCAGGTGTAATGAATTTTAACTTTTTTTTGGTGCCCACTTTGTTTTTGGTCAGGACTATAGTATTTGTCATGTCCCACTGTGTTTATGGCCAGGACTGTAGTATTTATCCTGTCCCACTGTGTTTATGTTGGGGACTATAGTATTTGTCATGCCCCACTGTATTAATGGCTAGCTCTATAGTATTTGTCATGTCCCACTGTGTTTTTGGCCGGGACTATAGTATTTGTCATGTCACATTGTGTTTATGGTCAGGACTATAGTATTTGTCATGTCCCACTGTGTTTATGGCTGGGACTATAGTATTTGTCATGTCCCACTGTGTTTTTGGCCAGGACTATAGTATTTGTCATGTCCCACTGTGATTATGGCCAGGACTATAGTATTTGACATGTCCCACTGTGTTTATGGTCGGGACTATAGTATTTGACATGTCTCACTGTGTTTATGGCCAGGACTATAGTATTTGTCATGTCCCACTGTGTTTATGGTCGGGACTATAGTATTTGTCATGTCCCACTGTATTTATGGCTAGCTCTATACTATTTGTCATGTCCCACTTTGTTTATGGCCAGGACTATAGTATTTGTCATGTCCCACTAATATGGCCAGAACTATAGTATTTGTCATGTCCCACTGTGTTTATGGCCAGGACTATAGTATTTGACATGCCCCACTTTGTTTACGGCCAGGAATATAGTATTTGTCATGTCCCACTTTGTTTACGGCTAGGACTATAGTATTTGTCATGTCCCACATGTGTTTATGGCCAAGACTATAGTATTTGTCATGTCCCACTGTGTTTATGGTCGGGACTGTAGTATTTGTCATGCCCCACTGTGTTTATGGCCGGGACTATAGTATTTGTCATGTCCCACTGTGTTTATGGCTGGGACTATAATATTTGTCATGTCCCACTGTGTTTATGGCTGGGACTATAGTATTTGTCATGTCCCACTGTGTTTTTGGCCAGGACTATAGTATTTGTCATGTCCCACTGTGATTATGGCCAGGACTATAGTATTTGACATGTCCCACTGTGTTTATGGTCGGGACTATAGTATTTGACATGTCTCACTGTGTTTATGGCCAGGACTATAGTATTTGTCATGTCCCACTGTGTTTATGGTCGGGACTATAGTATTTGTCATGTCCCACTGTATTTATGGCTAGCTCTATACTATTTGTCATGTCCCACTTTGTTTATGGCCAGGACTATTGTATTTGTCATGTCCCACTAATATGGCCAGAACTATAGTATTTGTCATGTCCCACTGTGTTTATGGCCAGGACTATAGTATTTGACATGCCCCACTTTGTTTACGGCCAGGAATATAGTATTTGTCATGTCCCACTTTGTTTACAGCTAGGACTATAGTATTTGTCATGTCCCACATGTGTTTATGGCCAAGACTATAGTATTTGTCATGTCCCACTGTGTTTATGGTCGGGACTGTAGTATTTGTCATGCCCCACTGTGTTTATGGCCGGGACTATAGTATTTGTCATGTCCCACTGTGTTTATGGCTGGGACTATAGTATTTGTCATGTCCCACTGTGTTTATGGCTGGGACTATAGAATGTAAAATTCACAGTTTATTAGAAATATTCATTTACTTGCATGAAAAATACCATGAAGGTACTGGCACATGTGTACATATATGTTACTCATATGTATCATTATAGACAGGGCATTGGTCTTCTGATATGGACCTAATTCTAGTGATATAAAGTATGATATGAGTATCATTAGACAGGGCATTGGTGTTCTGATATGGACCTAATTCTAGTGATATAGAGTATGATATGAGTATCATTAGACAGGGCATTGGTGTTCTGATATGGACCTAATTCTAGTGATATAAAGTATGATATGAGTATCATTAGACAGGGCATTGGTGTTCTGATATGGACCTAATTCTAGTGATATGAAGTATGATATGAGTATCATTAGACAGGGCATTGCTGTTCTGATATGGACCTAATTCTAGTGATATGAAGTATGATATGAGTATCATTAGACAGGGCATTGGTGTTCTGATATGGACCTAATTCTAGTGATATAGAGTATGATATGAGTATCATTAGACAGGGCATTGGTCTTCTGATATGGACCTAATTCTAGTGATATAGAGTATGATATGAGTATCATTATAGACAGGGCATTGGTGTTCTGATATGGACCTAATTCTAGTGATATAGAGTATGATATGAGTATCATTAGACAGGGCATTGGTGTTCTGATAGGGACCTAATTCTAGTGATATAGAGTATGATATGAGTATCATTAGACAGGGCATTGGTGTTCTGATATGGACCTAATTCTAGTGATATGAAGTATGATATGAGTATCATTAGACAGGGCATTGGTGTTCTGATAGGGACCTAATTCTAGTGATATAGAGTATGATATGAGTATCATTAGACAGGGCATTGGTGTTCTGATAGGGACCTAATTCTAGTGATATGAAGTATGATATGAGTATCATTAGACAGGGCATTGGTGTTCTGATAGGGACCTAATTCTAGTGATATAGAGTATGATATGAGTATCATTAGACAGGGCATTGGTGTTCTGATAGGGACGTAATTCTAGTGATATAGAGTATGATATGAGTATCATTAGACAGGGCATTGGTGTTCTGATAGGGACCTAATTCTAGTGATATGAAGTATGATATGAGTATCATTAGACAGGGCATTGGTGTTCTGATAGGGACGTAATTCTAGTGATATAGAGTATGATATGAGTATCATTAGACAGGGCATTGGTGTTCTGATAGGGACCTAATTCTAGTGATATAGAGTATGATATGAGTATCATTAGACAGGGCATTGGTGTTCTGATAGGGACCTTATTCTAGTGATATGAAGTATGATATGAGTATCATTAGACAGGGCATTGGTGTTCTGATAGGGACCTAATTCTAGTGATATGAAGTATGATATGAGTATCATTAGACAGGGCATTGGTGTTCTGATAGGGACCTAATTCTAGTGATATGAAGTATGATATGAGTATCATTAGACAGGGCATTGGTGTTCTGATAGGGACCTAATTCTAGTGATATGAAGTATGATATGAGTATCATTATAGACAGGGCATTGGTGTTCTGATATGGACCTAATTCTAGTGATATAGAGTATGATATGAGTATCATTAGACAGGGCATTGGTCTTCTGATATGGACCTAATTCTAGTGATATGAAGTATGATATGAGTATCATTAGACAGGGCATTGGTGTTCTGATAGGGACCTAATTCTAGTGATATGAAGTATGATATGAGTATCATTAGACAGGGCATTGGTGTTCTGATAGGGACCTAATTCTAGTGATATGAAGTATGATATGAGTATCATTAGACAGGGCATTGGTGTTCTGATAGGGACCTAATTCTAGTGATATGAAGTATGATATGAGTATCATTAGACAGGGCATTGGTGTTCTGATAGGGACGTAATTCTAGTGATATAGAGTATGATATGAGTATCATTAGACAGGGCATTGGTGTTCTGATATGGACCTAATTCTAGTGATATAGAGTATGATATGAGTATCATTAGACAGGGCATTGGTGTTCTGATATGGACCTAATTCTAGTGATATAGAGTATGATATGAGTATCATTAGACAGGGCATTGGTGTTCTGATATGGACCTAATTCTAGTGATATAGAGTATGATATGAGTATCATTAGACAGGGCATTGGTGTTCTGATAGGGACCTAATTCTAGTGATATAAAGTATGATATGAGTATCATTAGACAGGGCATTGGTGTTCTGATATGGACCTAATTCTAGTGATATAGAGTATGATATGAGTATCATTAGACAGGGCATTGGTGTTCTGATATGGACCTAATTCTAGTGATATAGAGTATGATATGAGTAACTATTATTAGATAAGTAATTTACATGTTATCATTGTGATTTAAATTGTCAGTTACTTGAACTTCATCTGTAATCCATGGAGTGTGAAATATTTTGCCAGACAATGGTTGTGGATAGGGTAGATATTTGCTGGCTCTTCTAATTGAATGAATAACTTTTCATATTATGATTTTAAACAGTAATGAATGTATCAATTGCTATGGGTTTTTTTATTTCTCCATTTAAGATCATATGCAACATACCTTGCAACAACTATACAATATGTCATATATATTTTTTAATGATGAAAATATTTTTTAATGATGAAAGTTCTTGCATAATTCAAAGAAAAATTAATATTGGCAAATATATAGTATTAGCTGGTATTGCCTGAAAAGAATTTGTTTTAGATGTGTAAAACATATTTAGGCAATATATTAAGTCACAAAAAGGTCCTTCAATTATTAGGACTCTTCAGTTATACAGGGAATAAGGAAATTAATGTCAAAACTACTCGTTCTAAAAATAAAAAAAACTATATGTAACATGAAATACCTAGTATTATCTCCACTGTATTTCTGTTTTTTTTTGTGTTTGTTTGTTTGTTTGGTTTTTTTTTTTTGGTTAAATAGAAATGTATTTTTAAAATTATTTATTTACATGTACCTTAATTTTACATTATTGCTTTATAATTATTTTTAGTGATGATGCAGCAGAGAGTTCAATCAAGTGTGACAAAGGGAAAACCCAGAAATGTCCGTCAGCTGTGATGGTCACTGAAGCGCGGATGAGAGATGACATTAAGTCAACCTATGTTGTAAGTTTTTCCTCTGCACATGAAGATAATAAATCTGCTTCAAAATTATTTTGTACCAGTGTGGCAGGGATTTTTTTCTTTCTTCTAAATTTAAGATTTTTTCAACTTCATTTCGAACATTTCATTTCAACAAAATAGTCAAAAATATTAAACATTCTGTATCCAGCATCACAGTAATATACAGTCAAACCTTGTTATCTTAAACTCGATGGGGCCCGAGAAAAAACTTTAAGATATCCAATGACTAGAAATGCTAATGTAGTAATATTAGAGATACCAAAGTTCAACTGTTTCACATTTCTTTCTGTAATCTTGTATTTGGGCTTACAAGTTTGAGAACATACATATGTAGAAATAGAAAAATGTTAAGCACCATCAGCCCAGTTATTGGAAACTAAATGGCTAATTTAATTTCTTTTTTATTCCTTCTATACCTATCCTTTTATGTGATAAACTTCTTATTTGCATGAATAATTCAAACTACCAAGTGAAAAATAAGTGAAATTATAGATTCACACATCTGAACCTCTTTTAGGTAGTTTAGAGTATAGTTTGAAATACTTTTAAAAATTAAAGAATATTTTTTTTGATTTTTGTTAAACTTTGTTTCAACAACATTTTTTTTTGTCAGTGTAAAATTTCCAAAAAACAGGAAACTGAGTTATTCCTTATGTAGATATAAAATGTGTTCCCAGTGGCCCTGTCAATTTGTTGTATTTTATCAATTTAGTGTGATGGTCTGTAACTAAGTTTATGTATTGGGCTAATTCCTGAAATCAATAACAATCTAACTTGGTGATTTACTGCATCATTGGATGGGCCCTGTTTTGACATCGCTAATCATAGGGTGTCAGAATTTAGCCCCTGTCAATCGGAACAGAATTAAGTGAAAGAAAAATTTGCCTTGTATCCAAAATGGTCCAGCATCAGTCAGTTTGTGTGTCTGCTAAACACTGGTCTGTATGGTTTGTGTGAATGATGTTTTAATGTAATAAAACAGTATTTCAAAAAACTATCAACTACCTTAAAGAGGTTCAGATGTGTGGATCTATAATTTCACTTATTTTTCAATTAGTAGTTTGAATTATTCATGCAAATAAGAAGTTTATTTTGGATGTGCAGGGCTCTCACACCACTTTTTGGGAATGTGGCTGGGGGAAAATAACGACCTTTTGGGGAATTTTGGGATAACTGTTATACTTTACAGTCATGATATATTGGGTGCAGTGGTGGATTTAAGGGGGGGCGCACCCTGCGTGCGCCCCCCTAAAATTGTCAAAGTTAGCGTAAATCATAGTTGCATCGAGAAAATGTAAAAATTGTCTACTCGGTAGACCTCATTTTTACCCTACGAAATCTCTACAATCCAGGAGGTTCCGGAGGCTTCGCCCCCCCCCCCCCCTGGCCCCCACCAGGGCTTCACCCTGGACCCACTGGGGGCCTCAAGGCGGCCCCCAGAACCCCTGCCTACTTTTGGCGTCCCCTCTATCTTCAATTCCTGGATCCGCACCTGGGGTGTCTGGGCTTTGTTATCAACTAAATTTTTGCTTTACAGAGGAGTATAAATAGCAAGTTTAGTTATTATATATCCAACTATATTTTCTTTAATATATGGGAGAAATGATTATTGAGAAAATTAACATTCAATTGGGGAAAAAGGTACCTTTTTGGAATTTGGAATGGGGCCTCAATAATTGAACAACTCACATTATAGACAATCGAGAGATGTGATGTGTATGTACCAAACTTTGTATATATGACTTATTCACAGCTTTTTCCTTTTCCAACTGGAGAGTAGGAATATGTTTTCCCCAATACATATGATACAGTATTGAAATTAAAAAAATCTACAAAGCTATGACAATTGGTGATTCATTATTGTTTTGAACTGACAATTAAAAACTACTATGATTGTCAGAAATATTTATTTATGGTATTGGTATTGAGAGAAAGCATAAATGTGTTGGTGGGAGATACTTTTTAGTTTAGACTTCAGAATCTTTGGCTTGAGAATGTCAGCTTACTGGCATTCATCAAAGTTATATTTAACAAAAGATGACAAAAAATGATGTTTGGTACAGAAATTCTCTCCAGAAATTAAATATTTTCCTTCTGGAAATCTATATACAGATAGACCTGAGCTATATACAAATATACCTGAACAGGTGTGACATTTGTCAGGTATATATACAAAAGGTCACAGAGCAGTCTGGGGATGTCGCAGTCTTTACGTCTACTGTGCTTTAAATATACTTCTTCAGCTCCTGATTATCTGACTTCCTGTTTGTAGTTATAATTAGTGTCAGTTGATTGGAGAGTTGTTTTTAGCTCACAGTGAGCTTCACTGGTCCATATTTTACTTCCGGCTTTCTCTGCCTCTTTAGATTTATCAGAAATTAATCATTTTAATTAAAGATAGTGATGATAGAAATTCAAAATAGATATATCTGCACAGTATAATAATTAAGCCCAAGTTCATTGTCATGACCCAAATAGCCCCTTCTGTTGTTGATAGAAATTTAAGAAAGAAATATCCTGGTCTATTGAATTTGATGGCATTAGTGTACTTTTTTCGATTTTTTATATTATTCTCAAACTATGTTTTCAACAAGAGTATTAATGAAGTAGGAAATGTTTTTGTTCATTGGTTAATCCCAGAGATGAGGGAGCTGCACTGTTTTTGTTTCTGTACATAAATTTGACATGCATGTCTGTAATTTCTTCACATAAACAACTATCAATAGTTGTCAAAAACAGAATGAATAACAGGTAAACAAAATGCTCAATTAACTTATTTTAAATTGAGGAATATTTCTCCATGTTTACTGAGATGGTTGTATGCTCTGGGTGACTGGTCTTTTTGCGTTGCTGTGTTCAGATAATTGAATGGCTTGCAGCATTAAGCCAGAATGCTCTGTTTTCGATGAAATAGATTTAATTAAATTTTATCTTGTGTCTTCAGATACTTGATATTTCAAAACAAGTTTTTATCACTTTCAAAAATACATTGAATTAATTTTAAGCTTTTTGCCTCTGATCATTCAACTATACATGTAACTAATTTTCAAATTCTGAACATTCTAAGAAACCGAAGATATGTTCACTCTTTTAAAACCCACTCCTTAAGTTAATTGGTCTAGGTCACACATTTCTAAATAAATAGTTATATTTCTTCAAATAGCAGTAACAATGCTCACTTTACTATGCATTGTCACGAAAACATCAAAAGTATAGGTACCCACACATCAAAGAAAGCGGTTGTGTCATTAATTAAATTATACAACAGATAATGGTTATAGCGCTGGCATTTAATGTTCAGTATTGGTATTGAGAAAAAGGATTTTGTCAGCTTATCTTCATCTAAGGATTAACTCTGTGCATCTTTATCTGTTCAAAAAGAAAGTGTCTAAAACTTTATATCACACATGCAAATGTGACTAGCTATAACAATTCCAATATAAAGACATTAATATCGTCAAGTTTAATTCTTCAAAGATTAATATTTAGATGTCAATTTTGCTTATTTAAAATTGTTGATGTTCAATTCATTGAAAGCGTTTGTAAGGTTTTTAGCCCACCTGATCCAAAGATGCTTGATGGCTTACAGGGATAGACAGTAACTTTCAGATTCACTTGCTCTTTGGGCAAGTGATCTCAAACTTTTACTTGTCCAAATGCAAAACTTGGTTGCCCAAAATTAAGAAAGAACTTGAGAAGAAAATTATTTATTACTGTAAACATTATGATAAGAAAAAATGTGACCAAATATGGCAAGATGAGCTACCTGAAAAAAATTCGATGCTGCATTTGTACATAAATGTATACCACTGTACTTGTAAATTTAACCTGTTAACACACACTGCCATGCAGCAATAACCCTCCGTTTCCTTTTAATAAAATTAATTTTTTTAAAAATTATATTCAGTAGGATCCTTTTGTGAATCGTGATTTTCAGAGATAACTTTGAAGCAACGCTAAAGGAAGATAGTTGCTACGAAACATACATCTTATCTTGATCAGGATACACCGTGTTACACTGTACTTATATTCTGTGCGTGAATAAATAATCTAATTTCCTAATAAGAAGTTAACAAAATTTTGTTAGACATAGAGCGTATTTACTAGGAAAGAAAATAACAAACCTGATTTTTGAATGAACGGTATAACACAGAAAGGAATTCCGAATGCAAAAACATTGTCAGTTAGGTACGTTGCGGAAATCAAGTGTTCAATTTATTGTTTTATTTATAAATTAATGTAAACTAAATAAATATGTACATTTGTATGAAAAAAATTCACTTGCCCGATCAGACAAGTATGTCGACAATTTCACTTGCCCAAACTGATAATTTACTTGTCCCGTGCAATCGAACAACCGCTAATGTCGATCCCTGGGCTTATCACAATTTCAATTTCAATACTTGTCCAATTCCAAGAAAACTTATGTTGGCCCTGTGGGTTTGGATGGGCTGTGATAGTGTGTCAGTATTCTACATAGATATGTGGAAGCAAATCTTAAAAAAAAAACATTAATTTTAGGAACAGCAAAGCATTAGGGGATCAAATTGAAACTATTTTTTATTTGGGGGAGGATTCATGGAATGAAGAGACCCACAAATTCATATCCTCCACAAAATGTTCAATTTAAATATATAGCATCTACACTTCTTCAACCAAAAAACCAAATCCCCATAAATCAATATTTTAATTATCCTCACACCACAAAATTTGACATCACAAAAGTGTTTTTACAGTACAAGCATCCCTTTGTTGTAAAGATTGATGTTCTAATCATGGCACTGGGATTGACACGAGGTTTCAGTTGAAAGATCTTTTTGCATAGGACTATCTGGGAGCCATCTTAGAAAAAACCCTCTCAATATCAACTGTGACACAGCTTGTCAAATCAGTTTAAAGAATATTAATATGGCGTTGAATCATATTTTTTCCATTAATGATTAACAAATCTTGGGGTAGGAGATATTGGGTGTGAGATGTTTAAGTGGGATTAAAGTTTTACAGGTGTATAAAGGTAAGGTCCACAGGTTTGTCCCTCTCATACTTATCTTTCAGGTGGAGATATATGTCAGCGAGCAATGTAGTCCTTGTACATATATGTTCATTGTTGTTTTGAGTGTAACTTTTCATTTGTCTTTATTACTATCTTTTTTATCTAATAAGAACATGTATGAAAACAAATATTTTGATAGACTTGCCTCGAAACACTCTTCTAAAGGTAATTGTGTTATTCCAAATTAACTTGATTTATAGCTGGTTGACCTTGATGATTTTTGAAAATATTTATAATATTTAGAATTTAGCTGAATGAAAATATGCCATAAGCATGCCTTTGAAAAGGTGAAGCAATTAAAATTGTAGGTGAATCACTTCTGCCTTGTTTGCTGTAAATAGCAGTTGCATCATAACAACAAACCATTAAGCTACAATTCAGGAGACTTCAAAGTTTCATTATTCATTCCATTCTTGGTACTCCTCCAGAGCTAGTTATTAATTTGCCTTAAAGGTACTGATATATGTGCCCATTCGAATTCCAACACCAATAGTATGGTTCCATAACTCTTTCAGTACGCATCCTTGGGGATGTTGCAAATTCATTCTGTAAATCTATTTTATGTATTTTGTGAAAATATGAATTCCATAGTGACCAAGAATAATATGTTCCAAAAGAATGCCCTTATAAAATGTTTGTCATCTTGACCGTATCCTATTTTTCACACCTTGTCGGTGTGAGGATGTTGTAGTAAGCTGACACAGAAATGAGATCTGTACGGTTCCCATGATTGATGCTGCTTCCTGTGGTAGCCTGAGGAACCAGTTTAATGTCTTATGTAATGTCCACCATATCTCAGACACTGTCAATTACCAGAAAACATCAACAAAATTTGATCACTTTAGCGTTATTAAAGGACCAAAAATATAGCTTAAAGGACACAAAAAACATGATTTTGTGGGACTATGTGACCTTGAACAGAGAGAGATGAAAGTAAAGGTCAAAAGCAAATAAGTTCTATGATTCTATTTTCTGTAAGCTTTTATGGAGGAGAAGAAACACTTTGCATAGAGAACAATTCATTCCATAAATATCCAGAAAATATTAATTGTTTAAATGTTGCTTCATTGCTTTCTTTAACAAATTTTATAATGGTAACAAAGAAAGGCATGCATAGCTTGATTTGTATTAATATATAAAAAGTACAATATTAAAAAATATATTAAAGTTATGTATTTTATGTTCTTTAGCAACTAATGAAGGAATTGGAATCAGAAAGAGAGAGAAGGTGGAAGGCTGAGCAGGCAAGCAAGAAATTACTGAACCATATACAGACTTTACAAGGAAAAGGTAAACTTAACAGGGGAGAGCTGAACCATATACAGACTTTACAAGAAAAAGGTAAACTTAACAGGGAAGAGCTGATCCATATACAGACTTTACAAAGAAAAGGTAAACTTAACAGGGAAGAGCTGAACCATATACAGACTTTACAAAGAAAAGGTAAACTTAACAGGGAAGAACTGATCCATATACAGACTTTACAAAGAAAAGGTAAACTTAACAGGGAAGAGCTGATCCATATACAGACTTTACAAAGAAAAGGTAAATTTAACAGGGAAGAGCTGATCCATATACAGACTTTACAAAGAAAAGGTAAACTTAACAGGGAAGAGCTGATCCATATACAGACTTTACAAAGAAAAGGTAAATTTAACAGGGAAGAGCTGATCCATATACAGACTTTACAAAGAAAAGGTAAACTTAACAGGGGAGAGCTGAACCATATAAAAACTTTACAAGGAAAAGGTAAACTTAACAGGGAAGAGCTGAACCATATACAGACTTTACAAAGAAAAGGTAAACTTAACATGAGAGAGTTGAACCATATACAAAATTTTCAAAGAAAAGGTAAACTTAACAGGGGAGAGCTAAACCATATACAGACTTTACAAGAAAAAGCTAAACTTAACAGGAGAGAGTTGAACCATATACAAACTTTACAAAGAAAAGGTAAACTTAACAGGGGAGAGCTAAACCATATACAAGCTTTACAAAGAAAAGGTAAACTTAACAGGGGAGAGCTAAACCATATACAGACTTTACAAGAAAAAGGTAAACTTAACAGGGAAGAGTTGAACCACATATAGACTTTACAAAGAAAAGGTAAACTTTACAGGAGAGAGTTGAACCATATACAGACTTTACAAGAAAAAGGTAAACGTAACAGGGAAGAGCTGAACCACATACAGACTTTACAAGAAAAAGATAAACTTAACAGGGAAGAGCTGAACCATATACAAACTTTACAAGAAAAAGGTAAACTTAACAGGAAAGAGCTGAACCATATACAGACTTTACAAGGAAAAGGTAAACTTAACAGGGAAGAGCTGAACCATATACAGACTTTACAAGGAAAAGGTAAACTTAACAGGGAGAGCTGAACCATATACAGACTTTACAAGGAAAAGGTAAACTTTACAGGCAAGACCTGTGCCACATGTAAACTTTACAATAAAAGGATAATCTTAATAGGAAAGACCTGTGCTAAGTGTCGATTAAAAAAAAATAAGGTAAACTTAACAGGAAAGAGCTGTGCCACATGTAAACTTAACAATAAAAAGGTAAACTTATCAGGAAAGATTAGATTAGATTGCAAATGTTTTAAGTGTTAGTGAAGTTTTACAGGGGATTATTAAACAACTATTATTTACTAAAGTGTATTTTGATGGGATAATTGGACAACTATAATTTACCAAGTGTAGTTTGACGGGGGATAAATTAGACAACTTTCATTACTAAGTGTAGTTTGACAGGGGATAATTGGACAACTATAATATACTAGTATGTGTAGTTTGATGGGGGATAATTAGACAACTTTCATTACTAAGTGTAATTTGACAGGGGATTACTGGACAACTATAATATACTAAGTGTAGTTTGACGGGGGATAATTAGACAAGTATTACCAAATGTAGTTTGACAGGGGATAATTAAACAACTATTATTTACCAAGTGTAGTTTGACAGGGGATAATTAGACAACTATTATTTACCAAGTGTAGTTTGACAGGGGATAATTAGACAACTATTATTTACCAAGTGTAGTTTGACAGGGGACAATTAGACAACTATCATTTACTAAGTGTAGTTTAAAGAGGTAACTTTCTATGGAAAAATAAGTCAATACCAAAGATATCAATTATCTAAACAAGAAATAGCAAACACACAAACTCACCTTATACATTATATGTAGGTCATTTCTCCTAAATCTATCCTCAGCATTCCCTGACTTCTGACCTGCCTTGACCCTGGGATGACCTTTGTAATGATAGATGCCCCCTAATTATTGCTATCCATATTCTGATGGAGTTTCCTGTTGTATAAGACTTTAGGGTCTTCTGATTTGATTGGAATACAATCAACAAATAAATAAATACTGAAGTCAGGATGAGAAACACAGACAAACAGTTTAATTTCCTCACTATAAGTGTTATCTATAGAAGTATTTATTACATTCAACACTTACAGGAAACCATATTTTATGTGTGATTAAAAGACAAAATGATAGATAATTTTTGATACCTTTTCAGTGTCTCTTACTTCCTAGCCATCACTCTATGACCTTGACAATTTATCTTTTTATCAATATAAAGACAATTTATCCTTTTATCAATACAAAAACATCTCCAACAAATTAAAGGTTATGAAAAATTTCTAACCAATAGTTCAGTGTTATTATCTTTGCATTATATAATTTCAACTACTTATTTCTCAGTGATTTGACCTTTGATATATGACCTTGAGTCAAGATAATAAGACATCTTTCTATTATTAGAAACAATATACTCAACATTCCAATGAAGGAAACCAGAGTTATAGCTTGGACAACATTTCACTGTCTCAGTGATCAAATCATGACACACCATTAGGACATGGGTATCAGCACACTTACATTTAAAGTCATTCATTCTAGGGTTTGATATGACTTTGACAAGATTTAATGTCAGATAGCAATTATTCCAAACTAATTTTCTTCCTTCACTGGGGAGGGGGGGGGGGGGGGGTAATGAGAAAAACTGAACACAAAAACTGAATGCAAAAAATAGAAACAACCAGCAGATCATGGCAAACCCAGGCTTGATTGTAAAAGGCAAAAAAAAAGCAATGTTAACTCAAACCTGACTTCGACTTATGGCAATACTGATAAAAATTAAAGTAAAAAAGAGACAGTGGGACAAGACTGATATAAACCAGAGTATAACAGACATAGTGAGACAATACTGATATAAACCAGAGGATAACAGACAAAGTGGGACAAGACTGATATAAACCAGAGTATAACAGACACAGTGAGACAAGACTGAAATAAACCAGAGTATAACAGACACAGTGAGACAAGACTGATATAAACCAGAGTATAACAGACACAGTGGGACAATACTGATATAAACCAGAGTATAACAGGCACAGTGGGACAAGACTGATATAAACCAGAGTATAACAGACATAGTGAGACAAGACTGAAATAAACCAGAGTATAACAGACACAGTGAGACAATACTGATATAAACCAGAGTATAACAGACACAGTGAGACAATACTGATATAAACCAGAGTATAACAGACACAGTGGGGCAATACTGATATAAACCAGAGTATAACAGACATAGTGAGACAAGACTGATATAATCCAGAGTATATCAGACACAGTGAGACAATACTGATATAAACCAGAGTATAACAGACACAGTGGGGCAATACTGATATAAACCAGAGTATAACAGGCACAGTGGGACAAGACTGATATAAACCAGAGTATAACAGACACAGTGGGGCAAGACTGATATAAACAAGAGTATAACAGACACAGTGGGGCAAGACTGATATAAACCAGAGTATAACAGTCATAGTGGGGCAAGTCTGATACAAACCTGAGTATAACATTGTGAAACAAGACTGATACAAAGCATTAGATGTTTCACAGACATTTAATTTTTTCCTTACTATTTTATTGATTTAAGGTATTGTAGATAAGTGGTTAGTTAAAGTTTTAGTTGAAAGTTCACATTGTTTTCCTCTCTGTTGATAGCTGAATTCAGAAATGATTAGATCTCATTGAAGTCTGCTAAGATGTAATTGAATTAGGTAAAAGCTGAAAACAAACAATATACTTTGCGTCACTGGTACGCATTGTTAATATCAGTTGTTACGTGCTCTGCTGGCCAAATTAGATGAGCTTAATTATTGAAGAAGTGTGACCGTGATTGAAAATTATTTAGCATTCACGTCACTAAAGACGTGAATTGCTACGTATTGATTGTGCCAAGTATGATTGAAAACTTGATTAATCATGTATTTTGTTGTTTATTTACAAGAGAAAGCCTTTTTAGTAAACAATATTAAGTGTTTTACTTGTCAATGTGTCCTTCATTTTTAATGCCTAAGATTGCAACAATGTAATTTTTTTAGGCTGGATGATTTGTTTCTTTTGATGAGACACATAACCAATAGTAAGAAATGTTTTACTTGCAGCTAAGGAAGGGGACGAACTGAAGGATACTGCAATAGAGGCTACGTCTCGCCTTAAACAAGCTCTGATGAATGAGAGAGAGGCCAAGCTAAGACTTCAGAATGATGTCGAGAAACTAAAAGAGCATATTCACGAGCTAAACAGGCAGTTAAAAATTGCCAAGGAGACAGAGGAAAGTCTGAAGGGGAGTCTGAGGGCGCTAGAAGAAGTTACAGCTAAAATGGAGAGGGACAAGTTACAGCAACAGACCCATGAGGTCAGTGTCATTACTGTAACACAGTTACAGCAACAGACCCACGAGGTCAGTGTCATTACTGTAACACAGTTACAGCAACAGACCCACGAAGGCAGTGTCATTACTGTAACACAGTTACAGCAACAGACCCACGAGGTCAGTGTCATTACTGTAACACAGTTACAGCAACAGACCCACGAGGTCAGTGTCATTACTGTAACACAGTTACAGCAACAGACCCACGAGGTCAGTGTCATTACTGTAACACAGTTACAGCAACAGACCCACGAGGGCAGTGTCATTACTGTATCACAGTTACAGCAACAAACCCAACAAAATATTCTTACTATAAATAGCAACAACAGACCCACAAGGTCAGAGTCGTTACTCTAGAACAAAGGACGGACCAACCCTTCTAAAATTTAAAAAGCAACAACAGACCCAGAGTTATAAGAAATTGGTGGTTCACTTGCATGTACCCTAAATGACACATAAAATAGCAGCTCAGTGTTCTCACAGAAACATTGAACAATTAAACTTTCAAAATGCACAGTCATTGTAAGGTCATTTTTACAGACAAAATGCTTACAATATGTCTTGTGATTTACGTTGCAGAGAAGTAAACTTCAGTAATGGCCATTAGTCAGTATCATTGCCAGAGATATGAATCAAACAGTAAAACTCCATTATAAAGAAGTCAGTTTTAAGGAAACCTCAGTTATAAGGAATTTTTATGAATCCCGTAGACAACTTTTCACTATAGTTAGGATATAAAGAGCCTCGGTTTTAAGGAAGTAAAATACAAAGTCCCAGTCACTTCCTTATAACAAAGTTTTACTGTACATTTTAAAATGAATTATTTCAAGGTAGGGTCGTTCATGTAATTGTAAGTTACCAGGAAAACTGTATTCCATAGATACAAGTAGAGACATACCTCTATAGCATATTAAGCTTGTATATGAGAGGGAGCAATCTTTGATATTGCAATTGGTGATTTTCTGTACGATTGCTTGAAAATTAACAATTTAGCCCTCATAGAAACACTCCATCCTGTAAAAAATTGTCACTGTTTTGTCAAGATTTCCTTTGCAAATAATACCTGATTAGCATAATAAATGACTTCATAAACCAGAAGTCTCTGATGAGACTGTAGCTCTACTGGTCTGTTTGTATAACAAAAGAAAAGTAGCACTTGGATTTGAAACATTGCAACATGCAACAATAAATAGAATTATGTATCTTAATGTACACAGTCTACTTCTGTGCCAAGTTATATTGAAATCAAATGAAAACTGTAGGAGGAGTAGCGTTTTGAAAGTATTTCAGGGAAATTTCTATTTTTAGTAACCATGACAACACCATTCACCCAAATAAAAAAAAACAGAAATACATATTATGTATCGTAGTGTATTCTAACTGTGTGCCAAATTAGATTGAAATCAGACCAAAATTGTAGGAGGAGTAACGTTTAATGGGAATTTCACAAAAATTTCTATTTTAAGTAACCATGGCAACACTGTTCATCGAATTCAAAAAGCAATGCAATAAATTATGTATCTTAGTATAGTCTTCTTGTATGCCTAATTATATTAAAAGCAGACTAAAACTGTAGCAGGAGTAGTGTTTTAAAGGAATTTCACAGAAATTTCTATTTTTAGTAACCATGGCAACACTGTCCATTGAATTCAAAAACCAATGTAATAAATTATGTATCTTAGTGTAGTCTACTTGTGTGCCAAGTTATATTGAAATCGGACCAAAACTGTAGGAGGAGTAGCGTTTTAAAGGAATTTCACAGAAATTTCTATTTTTAGTAACCATGGCAACACCGTCTATCAAAATCAAAAACCGATGCACTAAATGATGTATCTTAGTGTTGTCTACTTGTAAGCCAAGTTATATTGAAATCGGACCAAAACTGTAGGAGAAGTAGCGTTTTAAAGGAATTTCACAGAAATTTCTATTTTTAGTAACCATGGCAACATCGACCATCAAAATCAAAAAACCGATGCACTAAATTATGTATCTTAGTGTAGTCTACTTGTGTGCAAAGATATATTGAAATCGGACCAAAACTGTAGGAGGAGTAGCGTTTTAAAGGAATTTCACAGAAATGTCTATTTTTAGTAACCATGGCAACACCGTCCATTGAAATCAAAAATCGATGCACTAAATTATGTATCTTAGTGTTGTCTACTTGTGTGCCAAGTTATATTGAAATCGGACCAAAACTGTAGGAGGAGTAGCGTTTTGAAAAATTGTTTACAGACAGACGGACAGACAGACAGACAGACAGACAGACGGACGGACGACAGACACCTTACTATCGCATAAGCTCTTCTGGTCTCTGACCAGTAGAGCTAAAAATAATCTTTGACAATAACAGGAAGTCAGTAATCAATGACGTGAGACAATGTGGTCATTTTGTGGTCCTTCTAATCTGATTCTGTGGACTGGAATTGCTACTTTCCAGAATATGTCTGTAATTAGCAATGGCTGTTGATCTGTTCTCATTGTGAGGGTGTGCTGACTCATTTACCTGGGGTTACAATAAAAGCAAAAAAATGTGTTATTTTGTATGTTACTATTATTTGGATTATTTCATTGAGTAGCCCAAATGAATGAAGCAGTGTTTTGGTTGCATGTCCTTTGGCATTTCCTACTTACACCATTCAGAGACTATTTACTTAACACACTAACTGATTAATGTCTTTTATTGAAATACATTGGGCTTTGTATCAGATGACTCTCACTTTTTTGCATAAAACTTTGTTTCCAATGTTAAGAACAGGGATCAGTATGCAGACAGAGATTGTAAATGGAAGAAAGACTTAATTAAAACCATGTCATTTGTTAAAAATAATTTTAGGCTATTAAAGGGAGAACCTTTGAGGCTTTTGTGCAAGATGCTCTTAGAGGATATTTTTATACAAATAGTGAGAATTTTGTTTTATCAGTATTTGAGTGAAATTTCTTAACTTTTACAATTTTTATTGCTTATGGTACTTAAATTTTCCAAAGTGCTTTCTGGTCCACATTGAATACCCATCAGACTATCACTGCTGCACTCTGATTGGTTAACTCAAAGACAGAAGAACTTGCTAGCTACCTTACTGTCAACTTGTTGAGAAATGTCGGTTTTGCATTTTAAGTTTTGCCAGTTCAGCACTTGCTGCTTACAACATAATGATCATTAACAATCTAATGGCTGGAGAATTTCAGATTTTGATAGATTAATAGATTGAAGCTCCAAGTATAAAAATAAAAATAAGGAACTCAGTGAAAAGAATTCACTTTTCCCAGACAGACAAAGTTGGTATAAATTTTGCATGATGACACTCATATCTTTATAATGTATCTTAACAAGTTTAGCATTTCCTCTTCAGTTTGGTTTAATGTAGGGATGGTTGACAAACAGGAATCTCTAGACTCTTAGGAAGCATCTTCACTCTGAAGAAACTTTAGAAAAAAAAGTTTTTATTATTTCTCTATTGCACATATTAAGGTTTTAAATATTGAATTGTTTTTCTGGGAAATTTTAAGGATATTAAAGAATAAATTCTGTCATAATATTGAGAAGATCAAGTAATAAAATGAATTTTATTTTAAAAGATGGTTATTTTATACAGTAGAATGCCTTAAAACATAGGTAGATAGGCCAGAATTGTACAAACTTAATTTATAGATATTGTATTCCTTTGTTATCCATGTGATCTGTTTATTGTTTGTAGTTTGTCTCTCCTCCCAGCAGTGAAGTCATTGTAAATAACATCAACAATAAAAATGCTGTAATTAATACACTATTTGAGGAAACACTATTGTAATGAAAACCAGACAGTAGCAAAATAAGAATTCAGAATCACAAATACCCCTGCTGGGCTTTTTTATCATTTATGTTTGCTTTGTAGTATCAAAAAATATTTTGCTGATGAAACCATAAAATTTTTCTATGCAAGCAAATTTTTGGAGGAAGTGAATCTCCTTCCTGTAGGATTAAAGTTAACATTTATCTTCAAAGTAACGAGGTGTTAAGTTAAAAATCAAACACCAAAAATTAATATTAAATTGACTCTTTGCCAAGACTTGAATAAAACCTGAAAGTCTTTGGGGGAAAATGTTTGAAGATGTCAGTAATATGTGAGATTTTTATTTGTACGAATTTGCTCCTGTGTAGAATGCCAACTGATTGCCTTGACTAATTGTACAGGAAGGTGATCTTGAATATTATAACAACAGTCAAAAAGTACATACCAGGGAAAGATAACTCTAACTTAACATGAAATGCCAGTTATTCAAGGTCAGTCGGTAAATAGGAATAATTTGATGAGTTTTTCCTGTAATTGAAATCAGCATTTACATAAATCTTAGAGTTTGGAAATCCACTCCATACCAGAGTGATGTTAATATTGAAGCTTTGATCCTTTTTGCTGCCTTTTTGTGATATTATCTCCTATCGGAAACAGCTACAGAATTATTGGATTTCCACAATTGTGTAGAATTTGATTTACTAGATTTGGATGGAGATATTTTTGCTGTTATTAAGGTCTTTTTAGACAGGCTGCATTTATGAAGCAAGAAGTAATTGTCTACAACAGATAGTTTTCAAATATTTTTTTTCTCCAGAATTTGCAGTTTTCTATTGTAATGAATCACTAATTCTGATATGTCATTAAAGTTCACTTAAAGATTATTATTAAATCAATGTTTCTTTTCTATGCAAAGACACAGCAGTCTTAACAAAAATATCTACAGGATTTCTGTATTCTTTGTGTAGGAGGCTTAGATTGTTAAAAGATGGCAATGGCTATAGTCAGTTATAAAAAAAATAAATAAAAAGGGGGATGTTGTAACTGCTAAGGCTCCAGTCTAAGGTATCCATATAGAAAAAATCGTATATCTTGACTATAGTGTGAGATATTCTAAGAAGAAAATCTTGGTACAGAAAAAGTTAAGTTTTATGAAACAGATAATCCAAAATTAATGAGACTTTTTTGAAAATTTCCTCCATAATTTGGCAAGGAAGAGAGCATTTGTTCTTAAATAATTAATAATAATCAGATACATTGTACCAAAATTTTCTATTTTTTAATGAAATTTATTTTTCTATATCAAGAAAATTGCAGACATCCAAAGGTGATCCTTACTTTTTAGTTTTGCAGGAATGGTGAAAGAATGTGTCAAAATCATTTACACTAAATAAATGAAAATAATTACAAATGTTTAGCATATCTAAAATGAAGAATGATCAATTGGTTTTGTTTTGACGTGTATTTAGGATTTGAAGTCTTCCCCATTGCTTTAGTTGAATGACAATGTTTTAATTCACATGAAATTATATTAAAGAGAGTAAAATTTATGACATTGAGATGATTATATCTGTAAATTATATTATACACTGCATGTTAATCTTTTTAGCTCACCTCGACGAAGTCGAGATGAGCTTATGCTATAACCCCGGCGTCGGCGTTAGCGTCGGCGTCCCAGGTTAAAGTTTTAGGAGCAAGTCCCATTCCCAAGTAACTATAAGCCCTACCTGGACCAAACTTGCATGGATGATGCATCTAGGGATGGACATGGCCACACTTGCTTCGGAAGCTGGATCTGACCTAGATTTTCCAGATGAGTGACCAGGTTAAAGTTTTAGGAGCAGGTCCATTCCCAAGTAACTATAAGCCCTACCTGGACCAAACTTGCATGGATGATGCATCTAGGGATGGACACTACCACACTTGTTTCGGATGCTGGATCTGATGTAGATTTTCCAGATGAGTGACCAGGTTAAAGTTTTAGGAGCAGGTCCATTCCCAAGTAACTACAAGCCCTACCTTGACCAAACTTGCATGGATGATGCATCTAGGGATGGACACTACCACACTTGCTTCGGATGCTGGATCTGACCTAGATTTACCGGATGAGTGACCAGGTTAAAGTTTTAGGAGCAGGTCCATTCCCAAGTAACTATCAGCCCTACCTTGACCAAACTTGCATGGATGATGCATCTAGGGATGGACACTACCACACTTGCTTCGGATGCTGGATCTGACCTAGATTTTCCAGATGAGTGACCAGGTTAAAGTTTTAGGAGCAGGTCCATTCCCAAGTAACTATAAGCCCTACCTTGACCAAACTTGCATGGATGATGCATCTAGGGATGGACACTACCACACTTGCTTCGGATGCTGGATCTGATGTAGATTTTCCGGATGAGTGACCAGGTTAAAGTTTTAGGAGCAGGTCCATTCCCAAGTAACTATAAGCCCTACCTTGACCAAACTTGCATGGATGATGCATCTAGGGATGGACATGGCCACACTTGCTTCGGAAGCTGGATCTGACCTAGATTTTCCAGATGAGTGACCAGGTTAAAGTTTTAGGAGCAGGTCCATTCCCAAGTAACTATAAGCCCTACCTGGACCAAACTTGCATGGATGATGCATCTAGGGATGGACATGGCCACACTTGCTTCGGAAGCTGGATCTGACCTAGATTTTCCAGATGAGTGACCAGGTTAAAGTTTTAGGAGCAGGTCCATTCCCAAGTAACTATAAGCCCTACCTGGACCAAACTTGCATGGATGATGCATCTAGGGATGGACATGGCCACACTTGCTTCGGAAGCTGGATCTGACCTAGATTTTCCACATGTGAGACCAGGTTTAGATTTAGGAGGAGTCTTGTTCCCAAGTAACTATAAGCCCTACCTGGACCAAACTTGCATGGATGATGCATCTAGGGATGTACACTAACCAACCTGCTTCGAATGCTGGATCTGACCTAGATTTTCCACATGAGTGAATTTTAGCCATATTTTAACCAAATTAGCATGGATGATGTATCTAGGGATGGATACTTCCAGACTTGCCTTGGATTCTGAATCTGATGTACATTTTCCAGATGAGTGACCAGGGTAATTTTTTGGAGTAGCTATATAATATTATGGCCTGTTATGATTAAACTTGCATAGATGGTGCATCTAAGGATGAAAACTTCCAGACTTGCTTTGGATGTTGGAACTGACCAAAATTTTCTTGATTACTAAACAGGTCAAAAGTTTTTTGAGCAGATCTATAATTAAATCAAACTTGCATGGATATTGATCTTGGGATGTACCCTAACTAGAAAAAAATATGATGTGAAATTTGCCTTACATGTAGATAACATTCGTCGAGGTGAGCTTCGTAATCTTTGATTACCTATGTTTTGTAGCAAAAGAAGGCCCAGGATGCTCAGATGAAAGCAGCGGCATTAGCTCGGGAACTAGAGCTGACAAAAGCCACAGCCGAAAAACAGAAAGGCCAGATCTCACAGCTCCAAGAATTGTTGGCAAATAGGGAACAGCAACACAGGTAAAATAATACCTAAATAGGTCAAGCAACTGCTAGATAGGTCAAACAACAACTTGGGGGGGGGGGGGGGGGGCAACAAAACCTAAAACATTGGAGACAGCAAAATTACTGAAACAGCAACAATGTAGCAATACAGATAACATAAAGGAAGATGAGCAACAATAAGGAAAGCAAAGGGGGAACAAGACAGGTAACACAAAGGGAGACCAACAACACAGGTAACACAGAGGGAGAACAACACAGGAAACACAAAGGGAGACCAACAACACAGGTAACACAGAGGGATGACAACACAGGTAACACAGAGGGAGAACAACAACACAGGTAACACAAAGGGAGAACAACAACACAGGTAACACAAAGGGAGAACAACAACACAGGTAACACAGAGGGAGAACAACACAGGTAACACAAAGGGAGAACAACAACAACACAGGTAACACAGAGGGAGAACAACACAGGAAACAAACCCAAAGGGAGAAAAACAAAAACACAGGTAACACAAAGGGAGAACAACAACAACACAGGTAACACAGAGGGAGAACAACACAGGAAACAAACACAAAGGGAGAAAAACAAAAACACAGGTAACACAAAGGGAGAACAACAACAACATAGGTAACATAGAGGGCGAACAACAACAACACAGGTAACACAGAGGGAGAACAACACAGGTAACACAAAGGGAGAACAACAACAACACAGGTAACACAGAGGGAGAACAACAACAACACAGGTAACACAGAGGGAGAACAACACAGGAAACACAAAGGGAGAACAACAACAACACAGGTAACACAAAGGGAGAACAACAACAACACAGGTAACACAGAGGGAGAACAACAACAACACAGGTAACACAGAGGAAGAACAACACAGGAAACACAAAGGGAGAAAAACAAAAACACATGTAATACAAAGGGAGAACAACAACAACACAGGTAACACAAAGGGAGAACAACAACAACACAGGTAACACAAAGGGGGAACAACAACAACACAGGTAACACAAAGGGAGAACAACAACAACACAGGTAACACAGAGGGAGAACAACAACAACACAGGTAACACAAAGGGAGAACAACAACAACACAGGTAACACAGAGGGAGAACAACACAGGAAACACAAAGGGAGAAAAACAAAAACACATGTAATACAAAGGGAGAACAACAACAACACAGGTAACACAAAGGGAGAACAACAACAACACAGGTAACACAAAGGGGGAACAACAACAACACAGGTAACACAGAGGGAGAACAACACAGGTAACACAAAGGGAGAACAACACAGGAAACTCAAAGGGAGAACAACATAGATAACAAAAAAGGGACGAATAACAACACAGTGGAGTGAGACATCATCATCAGACAGGCTACCTTTTATTGTACCTTATTCACCTGAGATTGGGGGAAAATAGATACCTTTCTCTAATATTAGTGTGCAGTTTGTTCAATACTTGACCCCATAATCAGCACAAAAATCCAGAGAATTGGTTGTGTAATTAGTAATAAGGATATGAAGGTTTTATGAATGAAATAAAGTTGCCAAGGTCTCATTAAATGGCTAAATTTAGGTCAGTGTATAAGCCTGATGATATTGTATGTGACTATTGATGGTTGTAAGACGAGGTATCCTTGTTTTCTGTTTGGCACAACGTCCTGTATCACTTAGCTGTATCACTATCAATTACATGTATAATATAAAAAGATGCTCTGAACAAGACGTAACTGGTCAGGTTTATTTTCTCTTTAATTAAATTCTTTGTTTTTAGTCAAGGTTATTGAATTAGATCACTTAACTTAATTTTCAGATATTTGCACCAAAGTTATCTTGTGTCCCATTCTTCTAGCAGAGGTATTTCCGGCATGCTTAAGTTGATGCCAGCCATTCAATAATAAACAGCCAGGTCTCTTATTGATCAGACCGGTCAGATTCACTTTTATTGTTTCATAAAAGTAGATATGCCATAATGATTCTAAATAAAGTTCTGGACCTGTTGATGTCTAGTAGATATGTTTAAGGATATCTGAATTGATCTGTATTAATTTGGAGCAGTTCCACAACTGCTACATGTCATCTTTGGTTGAAGTAACCAATGCTTTTTTTGTATATTTAAACAATTTATCACAAGTCATTGGTTGTAATTAGACATTACTCATATCAACCATTCTAAGTAAAGTCATTACAAATGGCTGACTGCTGTAGAGAAATAGTGGAGGGGAAGTGAAAAACTCTTCTCCAAGCTTATTTGCTAAAATCATTCCATGGCTAGTTCATCAAGCGGTAAAGCTGAGAAGTATGTAAATTTATTGCCCACCATGTTACAGACTGCCCAGTAATGGTGGCTTTTAGCTTCATTGAGTAGGGCTAGTCACTTGGTATCATACATTTACGCAGAATTAAGTTAGATTAACAAGGTTTTTGCTCTGCAATACATCTTTGTCCATTTCTTGGATGTAACATACAAATACAACAAGCCAATCGAAGGAGTTTGAAGGATGAAGATTTTCTTTGTGACTACCGACTAGCATTTACCGAGTTTTGAAATTTGTCAATTTCTATCTGTCATGAAGAAGTGCATTAAATCAAATTATGTCCCATGTAGTTTAACCACAAAATAGAAGTGCTCCCCTCTAGCTGGGATTATTTTCCTTGTCATTAAATATTGATATATAATCCGACTAGCACATCGCTTTGTGCTATGATGTTTCTTTGGCAGAAATATCTTTTCATACGCAGTTCACTACATGCTTTTGTCTTCATATTCATTATTTTAATGTGTTTTAATGCCACACTGTTTCCACACTGTTAGTAAATGCTGTCTTTATCACTGAGCTGTGGCTCGGTGCATTTAGAATGAAATACTTTATAGTCCTTAGGCTTCACATCAAATGTATTTAATTCATCTTCTCTTTATTGTGAAAAAAATATATTAATTTATAGTTTTATCATTGTGCATATAAAAATTACACTAAAATAGTGTTTTGATAGCTTATTTAAATGGTACAAAATAGTGCAATATTACACCTGAAATTTACTCACAATAACATTAACTTTCGTGCACTTACCGGTACATTATTGAGTTTGAGATTGGGTTATTTGATTTTGTTTGACTATATATAAGAGTATAGTCATGAATAAACCTAGTAATTATATTACAGGGAAGAAATGAAGAAGAGATATAGTTTGGACAGCAAGGAGTTACAGGAAGTGATTGCAGATCACGTGAAAAAGGCCGAAAAGAACTACAGCCTGGAGGTCAAATCTCAGAATGAAAAGTAAGAGGTGGTCAAAGGAGTACTGATGAAGGGGTGGGGGAGGGGGTGATAGGAGAGAGAGAGAAAGGAGTACTGATGAAGGGGTGGGGGAGGGGGTGATAGGAGAGAGAGAGAGAGAAAGGAGTACTGATGAAGGGGTGGGGGAGGGGTGATAGGAGAGAGAGAGAGAAAGGAGTACTGATGAAGGGGTGGGGGAGGGGTGATAGGAGAGAGAGAGAGAAAGGAGTACTGATGAAGGGGTGGGGGAGGGGGAGGGGGGTGATAGGAGAGAGAGAGAGAGAAAGGAGTACTGATGAAGGGGTGGGGGAGGGGGAGGGGGGTGATAGGAGAGAGAGAGAAAGGAGTACTGATGAAGGGGTGGGGGAGGGGGAGGGGGTGATAGGAGAGAGAGAGAAAGGAGTACTGATGAAGGGGTGGGGGAGGGGGTGATAGGAGAGAGAGAGAGAAAGGAGTACTGATGAAGGGGTGGGGGAGGGGTGATAGGAGAGAGAGAGAAAGGAGTACTGATGAAGGAGTGGGGGAGGGGGAGGGGGGTAATAGGAGAGAGAGAAAGGAAATTGTTTCAAGTAAAAAAAAATTGTGTTTCATAAAAATAAAAATTTTAAAATTAAAGCAACATAGATTTTTTTCGTCTTAATGAAGATGAATTTTTACAGAAAAGATACCTGTATTGATGAAGAAATTAATGCAAAGTATGCATGAAAATGGAAGTTAGTTTGTCATGTAGAAGTAAAAATGAATAATTTTGAAATACAGTTGAACTTCGGTATCTTGAACAATGATATCTCGAATACCATGGATATGTCAAAGTGATTTGGTAGTCCCAACCACTTAATTTATAAGTATTTTACCCCTGATATCTCAAATCCTCAGATATCTCAGTTATTTCTCGGTCCCATCGAGTTCGAGATAACGAGGATTGAGAAAATGAAAATGACAAATTAAAAGTAAATTTTGCTTCTCAGGTAGTAAATTAGGACCCCCCTCCCCCCCAGAATGAATAGGTCCATGAATGTTATGGTCAAATTTATTCCCCTTGATTTATTTAGCAATTGTTAAGTATTCCATCCCCATATAAGTTAATTGCAGGGGATGATCATTCAGTAACAGGGCATATGTTGGCAAGAATACATATACATTGTCTTATATTATTAGAGAGCTAATAAACAAATACAAGCAATTAATGCTGCTTAATTGACCCCTCTAATTAGATTATTCTGTTACATTTTTTGTACCCATCACCATCAAGCCTGTATGAGAGATCCCTTGTTATTGTGTTTGTTTGGGTAATTATGTAAGATAAACACATTAATATCTGTTTGCTTGGAGAATGGAGAAGCACTTGTTAAGGGATGGCTACTTTCTCTGCCCTGTCTAGGATACCAGGAGCCATAGAAATTGTGGAGTTAGACACCAAACTATTATCTCTTGTCTAATTGTATTTTTATGTCAGGGATGCTGATTTTTACATACTAATTTCTACTTTGCCAGAGGTGCATTTCATGCTACTTAACTTCATTTCTCTACCATACTGTTCATTCTAACTGTTTATTGAAACCATTCAATGATTAGAGACAGTATGACTAAACAATACAAATATATGACTATACAAGTATTACTGACAAATATCAATAAATTCATATACTTAGTTTTCTGATACTGAAATTATTTATACACGGCATTCAGTGATATTGCATAAAGGTGTTATCATATTTGTTATTGTTGTTTGGTGATTCACACCAAATACTTACTGCAAAAAAAAAATAATCTCATACTGCATGCTGTACACACTAGAATCTCATACTGTATACTGTAAATACTAGAATCTCATACTGCATGCTGTACACAATAGAATCTCATTCTGCATGCTGTACACACTAGAATCTCATATTGCATGCTGTGCACACTAGAATCTAACACCGCATGCTTTACACAATAGAATCTCATACTGCATGCTGTACATACTAGAAGCTCATACTGCATGCTGTACACACAAGAATCTCACACTGCATGCTGTACACACTAGATAGATATCAGGGAATCTTTATTACAGTACTAGACCATGCTAGAAAAGCAATGTATATATATATTTTTTTAAATTTGTCCCCCATTTTACCACCCGAAGGAAGTAGGTAACTGACCTGTGTATGGCTTTAAGTTCTCACCCCAGATATCAACAGAAGGGGATAGTGTTTCTTTGATTCATAATTTTTTAAATGTCAGCATTTATATGTAAACAAAGTTCTTTAAATTTAAATAACAAAAAGATCATTTGAATAACTGAAATTAATCATAGTCACCAATTAAACCCAAAATTATTGCTATGTTTTCTCAAAAAAGTAATCCTCTTTACATTTGTTGAGTTATAAAACTTAATAATCAGGTGATCTCCATTTAAAGACCATGGACCTTTTAATACCCAGAATTAATGATAATTAACTATATTAATTCATGACACTTGAGTTCATGCAACGTAAACACAATGGACTTCTGCTGGACACAGCTGTCAAAGTGACCGATTAAAATGTACCATCTCCCACATACAGTGCTAAGTGGAATAATCCAAAATAAGGCTATGTCTCTTAGGTCATTTAAATGAAGTGGAGGGTGGCAATAAAGCCCAGCTTTTTTGGTGATCCTTCCTTCATGAAATGATGGGGATTCAACTTTTTATATGGTGGATTTATAATTTGATTGTGAAGTATGTTGACTTTGGCACTCGGAGCTAATATTACTTCACAGACCTATCCTTAAGTGTTTTAGTGTTTTTAAAGAGCATAAGGAAACTGTATGTAAAGAACAGCAATAAATACCCTTGTAAAACCATCTACATCACTTAGTTATGTTTTCCATTAATTAACCTTCGAAACAATTTCAAAGTTTACACTCTCAGGAACTACCATTAATAAGGGAATAAATTTTGTGCTTCACCATAATCCATGATCCCCTGAGAAATCCTCCCCCAATAGAGCCAAACAGTAACGGAGCCCCTCTATCCTTCCATCCCTTCATCCTTCCATCCCTCCATCCTTCAGTCCCTTCATCCTTCCATCCCTCCATCCTTCAGTCCCTTCATCCTTCCATCCCTCCGTCCTTCCATCCCTCCATCCTTCCATCCCTTCATCCTTTCATCCTTCAGTCCCTTCATCCTTCCATCCCTCCATCCTTCAGTCCCTTCATCCTTCCATCCCTTCATCCTTCCATCCCTCCATCCTTCCATCCCTCCATCCTTCCATCCCTTCATCCTTCCATCCCTCCATCCTTCCATCCCTTCATCCCTTCATCCTTCCATCCCTCCATCCTTCCATCCTTCCATCCCTTCATCCTTCCATCCCTCCATCCTTCCATCCCTCCATCCTTCCATCCCTCCATCCTTCCATCCCTTCATCCTTCCATCCCTCTGTTCTTCTGTCACATTTTGCATTTAGCTCAGTTTCAAAGAAACTATTCAAGATTTTTTTTATCAAACTTCTTATATATGCTGATACATATTGTTGACAGCCTTTCAATTGCATCAATATCTTTCGACCTTGACCTTTTCTTTGACCTTGACTTAACTTTCTTAAATTAATGATCAACTCAATTTCAAAGACACTTTAGATATTTGATCAAATCTTATATACTTATACATGTTGATAAGAACTGTTCAACTGCATTAACTTTTTTTTACCTTGGCATTTTCTTTGACCTTGACCTCACTTATCTTAAAATGGTATTAAGCTCAGTTTCAAAGAAAGTATTCCAGATATTTTAATCAAACGTAATATGCTGATACATATTGGTGAGAGGTATTCAACTTCATCAACATTTTTGACTTTGATCTTTTTCTTTGACCCTTGTTTTTAGGTACGCTTATGCACTGATGCATTATTTGGTGAGAATTTATCAACTTTGTCTATTTTATTTACCTTGACCTTCCCAATGACCTTTGACTTTACTATTTATTGTGTTTTAAATTCAGTTTTTAAAGTTTTAAAGAAACTATTCAAGGTATTTTCATCAGTCTTCATACACTAATACAAATCTTCATGTTTTTTTTTTATTTATTTATACATAGTTTTATTCACATGAAGTGAATGGGATTAGACAACAGGCATAGCCTATTTTAGCCCTCTCCCTATTTTCATGTTGCATTACCAATGAGCCTTGGATGGGGAATATTTTTAGTTTTTAATTTAATTTTTTGTAGGGTGGATCTGCTGACTAAACAGTATGCCGACTTGGAGGATGAATTTAGAATGGCTCTTCAGATCGAGGCAAATAGATTTAAAGAGGTTAGTCTGGACAAGCGAGTCCAGTTGATCATTTCTGATCAACAGTAAATCTACTTTAATTAATTACAGTATCCATGATTTATCAGATATGAATTCATTGATAAATACTATAATATGGCATATATTTTAAAATATGTAAAGAGAGACCTTAAAGCTGACATGAACTCTTAAAAATGTGATATTTTCATCCTTGTATGACTTATTTCATTCCCGTACTCCCTTTTCCGCCATATTTCTTTCAGATGCGCTCACTTATTTTACCGGCTATATAAACCCTGATGCCTTTTTTACACTTGAGTGATTTTCTAGCCTGGCTGTCGGCATGTACACATCTCCGATAGCAAAGTTTTGGAACACGTCATGAACTGACCGAAAACATGTAGGCCTGTACACATCGATAAAGCAGTTTTGGAACATGCAATAAATCTAACAATCCTACCAAAACTATGAATTTTACTGAAAACTGGAAAGGATTATATAAATTTTGAATAATTTTGATGCAATGCATAAAAATCAAAACGGCAAATGCATGTTTGATATATGTTACATATATATTTGAACAATAAAGAAGCTACCACATGCATTTTTTCAAAAAAAAAAAAAAAAAAAAAAAAAAAAAAAAAAAAAACCACTGTACTGTTGAGCTTTATGCATGCTACACGGTATAAGCACATACTATGCAACTTACGCATTGAAGTAATGCATGCATGCATGCCGAGAAAACGCGTCGAACGCTTTATACTCATCTGCCTGAAATACAGCTATCGCTACAGGGATGTGCACATGTCGAAAGAATTACTTCCTATTTTCCTTTTATTGAAATATGCATCACAGAAGAAATAACTCCATTTGTAACTCAACGGTAAACAAATTGTCAGAAGCACTTGAACACACGTGGTCCCTGCCGATCAGCATTTTTGGTCAGGGAAAATATCGAAGGTGGAAATGAAACTGGTATTTGCCAGATTAGACAATATAGTCACGCAAATAAAACGTTTCAGAAACTAACTGTTGTCGGTTCATGTAGTAAATATGTTCATGAATGTGGCTTCATTACAACAAATTTATTATATAAACATACATTCTTGTTACGGATCTTACATCTTTTAAAGAAAATGAAAGGGGGGGGGGGGGTGGAATATGTAGAATACATTTTTTTTCAATATATTTTAAACAAACGTCGGAAAAAGGTCGAATTTTCCTTGATCAAATATAATTAAATACTTGCAATGAACTGGCCTCAACTATTTTAGATAAAAAAAACTGATATATCTTAAATTTACACAAACTGAACAATTTGTTTCTGTAGACAGATTATTTTCAAATAATGACCCTTTTAGGCGTCACAAATTACAAGCACGCATTGCCAAAGATATCACGAGGCGATGCAAAAGTACTAATTTTTACATTACATAAGTTCTTTTTTAACAACTACACATATTTACACGTTTTAGATATTTAAAGAAATTTTGTGATGTGACTGAATGATTACAATATGGTTGCATGCATGTGTATTATTTCTTTAAATATTATATAATTAATAGTCAAAGTTGATAGGAAAGGAAAACAATGTGCCCCTGACAGTGCCCCCCCCCCCCCCCCCCACAAGTTTTTTTTTTGTTTTTTTTTTGTTTTGATACTGGTTATTTTTTTTTTTCTTGTCTAAAAAATTTTTGGTAGGAACCCTCTGTGCTCTTATAAAGAAACAAAAAACTGAATTTGTTTTCTCTGGAAAGTACATGAGAAGGGTCCACATGTTTCCATTCCCGTGAAATATAGTTTTCACAATTGTTTTGTTCCCTTCTCGTTTGGGTGTGTAGGTTTTTTTTTCTTCTTTTCTTTTCCTTTTTTTTTTGGCTTGTCAAAAAAGGAGACAATTTTTTCAGCAGGTTTGATCCACCCTGCCCCAGAAAAATTCCTCGATCTGCCCTTTTAAAGACTATATCATTTCCCAAGATTTTTACTACATCAGATTTTATATGCATTATTGCTCTTACATGTATGGATGCTTACACATGAGAGAGAGTATACATCTACTTGTATTGAAAATGCAAACAATATTTATCTATAATCTTGCGGTTTAGGTTTTAAGTAATCCTTAAACTATCTTTTAAGATTTTCTCAAAATACAAGAAATTGAATAGGTACCAAATTTTAGACTACCTGCGGAAACTCTCCAATATGGAAAGACTTTCTATACATGCATATAAAACAGGCACATAGCACCGTTTTTCAAAATGTGTGTATGCGAGGGGGAGCGGGGGCAGTAAAATGATTGACAAGTAAAAAAAAATTTAGGCACGTAAAAATTGGGGGAAGTGAAGAAGGAAAACAGGCATTTAAAAAAAAACTCCGTAGTCAGAGGAGGGACAGATTCCATTAAATTCATACTATCATTTTCGGCAGAAAAATATTTGAGTACAATGTACAATAATGTTGGATAAGAGTTGGGGGGGGGGGGGGCAGCCAGTCTTAAAATAAAAAAAATCCCTGTCGAACGCGTGGTTGGGGGATGCCCCCCTTTTTTCGAGCATAATGTTTTACTGTTTAGTATGAAATACACAATCAAAGGCTGATCTCCACCACTTTTTGTTGCACTATAGTCAAATCCTCGAAAAAGTTGCCCCCCCCCCCCCCCCCCCCCCCCCCCCCCGCCACAAAATAGGATTTTGGAGATTTTTTTAAATATTATTTTATTTTTTTATTTATTTTTATTATTATTATTATAATTTTAATTATTATTATTATTATCATTTTTTTGCTTGTCAAAGATTTTTCAGGTAAATTAAAGTGTCAATCATTTCTTAGATGCAACGTGCCTGAAAGACACTCTGAGAAAAGGGAGAATCCCCCCCCCCCCCCCCCGGCTCCACGTATGTGTATATTTGTTAATTTGTGTTCTGGTTAAATGCTCTTATGTCGTGTTCTAAATAATTTTTTTTTTACACCAAATTACTCAGTTTAGTTTTTAGATAATCAGCAATCAGACTTTTTTTTTTAGTGATTTCTTATTTTTTACCCAGTCGCGCAAATACTAATTCCCTTTTTTACTTTTGATATTTTCCCCGACCAAAATCTGATCAGCACGGACTAAGCGTATTCGAGTGCTAGGCTGTACGATGAAGTGACAACGTGTTTACTGTTGAGTATTTATGGAGTTTATTACTTTTTGTGATGCATATTTCAATAAATGGAATATAAGGTGTAAATTATTCGGCATGTGCACATCTTCGAACAGGTACAGTGGTCTATTTCCAGGTATGAATAAGTTTACAGTGTTCGACGTGTTCTCTCGATATGCATCAATTGTATTTGAATGCATATGGACATGCATAGGATATACACTGGTGGAGTGATGGTTTGTTCCATTCTTACGATAGATTATTGCAAATTGTTTGTACGAGTTTTACTGTGTATTATTTCAAGTTTATTGTGCATATATTGGTATGCTTTTAAAAAACACGCGCAACTAATAGATGTTTCTTCTTCCAAACTTGCATTTATGTTATTCAAAACGAATATTATTCATGATTACCGTTATGACTGTTTTTATCTGTTCTGGTTTTAAAATGTTTTCATCAATTCATGTGTTCCCCAAATACTTTACTATCGGAGATGTGCACGCGTCGATAGCCAAACCAAAAATTCACTCAAGTGTAACGAGGGCACGGGTATATATCGTTACAATAAGACAAGGTATCTGAAAGAAATATGGCGGAATAGTTATGAAACAAGTCGTACATTGATGCAAATGTTGCGTTTTTAAGAATTCATGTCAGCTTTAAATTAACCATTTTAAAATTAAAATAAAACAGTTTTATACCTTACTTGAGCCAAAGGCTGTGTTGAGCTTTTCTGATTAAGTTTTTCCATCTTCCATTTGTTGGTTAGTTTACTTTTCAGCTCTACTCGTCAGAGACCGGAAGAGCTTATGCAATGGTAAGGTGTCCATCATCCATCCGTCTGTCTGTAAACAATTAATTTTTCAAAATGCTACTCCTCCTGCAGTTTTGGTTTGATTTCATTATAACTTGGCACACAAGTAGACTACACTAAGCTACTGTAAACCAACTTTTATTTGCATGCGAAAAATATTTGCAAGTTTCGCGACCTGCTTTAACTCATGAATATTAATCGCCGTGAACCATTTATTTTAATTGCTTTGTATTTGTAGGGAATGTTTCCTCAGTCGCAAAAATTAATTGTCATGGATTGATTTTAAACTGACTAATCACAAATAAAAGATGACACAAATAATAGTTGGTTTTTTTATCTTAATGAATGGTGTTGCCATGGTTATTAAAAATAGAAATTCTTTGAAATTTCTTTAAAACGCTACTCCTCCCAGAGTTTTGGTCTAATTATATTATAACTTGGCACACAAGGAGATTTCAAACTCAAATAAATAGTGATGAGAAATCGGAATTTTTTTCATAATCGATTATCGGAATAATCGGATGCATTTTAATCGATTTATAATCAATTGATTTCAAATATAAAATGTTCACTTTTTAAATGAAGAATAGAGTGGTTAAAATTTCTGGAGTGATTTCTAGAATGCATTTTTGATATATTTTGTATCATTGGATTCATTTATTAGATTATTATTTAGGATTTAGTTAAATTCAAAGAAGAATGAATCAAAAATCAAAAGGAATAATTTGCTTTTAACTAATATTTTGAGTAATCAATTATCAAAATTATAATCGATTATCTATAATTGGGGACCATTTCAATTAGATAATTGATTTAATCGATTAATTGGTACATCACTACAAATAAATAATTTTGTGTATTAGTTTTTGATTTCAAATAATGGTATTGCCATGGTTACTAAAAATAGAAATTTCTGTGAATTTTTTTCAAAAGACAATTCCTCCTAGAGCTTTAGTCTGAATGCAAAAATCTTGCCACAAAAAGAGACTAAACTAAGGACCATTATTCTAATTATTGCTGTTGCATAGTTTTAAATACAAGTGCTATTTTTCTCTTCCTTTAAAAGTACAAACCAGTAGAGCTACAGTCTCGTCTGAGAGTTCTGTTTACATTTTTAGCTCACCTCAATAAAGTTTGGGAAGCTTATGTAGCTATATAATATCTTTGGCAATGGTATCCTAGGTTAAAGTTTTTGGAGAGATTTCTTTTCAAGTACTTCTATGCCCTATATTAATCAGAGATGCATGAACAATAGTATGTTTCACTGCACCAATCAGGTTTCAGATGCTGCATTTTCAGCCAAAGAATGGCCAAGTTAGAGGTTTTAGATACATGCTACCAGACTTACTTAGGATGCTGTATTTGACCTACATTTTTCAAATGAGTGACCAGGTTAAAGTTTTTAGAGCAGGTCCATTCCCAAGTCCTATAAGCTTTTTGGTAACTAGATTATATGGATAATGTATCTAGATTTGCACACTATCAGACTTTGGATGCTGAATCTTCTTAAAATTATTCGAGTGATGGAATAGAAATAGTTTTGAAGTAAGTCCTTTCTAAAGTAACTAAAAATCCTACCCAGTTGTCGAATCCAAACTTGCATAAATGTTGCATCTAGGGATGCACACTACCATATTGTTTAGTGTGGGACTTAACCTTACTTAAAGATGACAATATGATTACCTATGGGTTTTTGTTCCAAATTATGGAAGGATTGGGGTTGTACTAAATTCAAGTAACAAATTTGTCATAATTCATGTATATAGAGAAAAATCTTTCCAAAATCTTTTCCAGAACAATAAATCACATTAGTCATATTGATATACAGAATCTTCATATTGTGTAAAGTTTGGTTAAGTAATGACCCCTTGGGGCTAGATGGAGCCACAAATGGTGTCCAAAATTTGCATGGCAGTATAGTGGAAAAATATCTGAGAAGATTTTCTAAAGAACTACGGCTAAGATGAATCAGGTGATCTTTGTGGCCCCAGGGTTCTTGTATGACATTGATGTAACACTGCTTCATACAAACTGCAAAATTCTTCAGGTGCTCCACTGCCAAATAGGTCATAGTTTAATATATTGAAATGTAATGTGTAGTTTAAAATTTTGAAGACATTTATGAAACTGTGACAAGCTATTACAATTTTTCTATCCTGATGAAGGTGATTTTCATACACAGGAAGTATAAGTTAAATTTACAGAAGTCATATCAAAGTTACCTATAATTATCTTTAAAATATTTGGTTTTGTGGTCATCAAAAAGGCAATCCAAAGCATGTCGAAGCATACATGTCAACTGTGGTAGGAGATTAATGTAATGGCCTGATTTTTGTTGTCTTGTCTATTTCCAATAACTCTTGTTACCTGTATAATACCTGTATAATACCTGTAATCTGCGTTAATGGAGAAGATGAAAGAATGTACTATAGATCGACACAACCAGTACACGCTGGGCTAGGCTCTCCATCATTCACCTCTGTTTATGATCGTCCAGGAAATCAGTAATGTAGAAATCAGTTTATTTCACTAAAGGGAAGACCAAACTATCCTTTTGGTGGCTACTATTTAAATTGACAGATCTAGGTTTGGTTAGAAAAACCTGTACAATCCCTTCTGTTACTGATATCAAAGAGTTTATTGTTGTACATATGGTTAATCATTATGACTTCAAATTAATGATATTTTTTCCATTTTTTGTGGTGATAATTATAAGTTTTATTTTTGCTTACTAAGCAAAACAAGAATTAGCAGGGATCTTTTCATTGCTTACTGGGTGTAGCTTTTAATTTACCCAAAAAGTTGTAAATTATACAAATACATTTATTAGTATATTGGTGAGGCTACATTTTTATGTATAATTGTTTTCCCCACAGCTTCAACATGCATTCCAGACGATAAGTGAAGAGAATGCGGAGAACAAGCAGGCTTTGTTAGCAGCTCAGCAGAAAGATGAAACCTCAGCAGCCATGATTAGTGAGCTCTCCCAGGTAAATGTTAGCTCACCTCTATACTGAAAGTAGACAGGTCAGTGTTAGCTCACCTCTATACTGAAAGTAGGCAGGTCAGTGTTAGCTCACCTCTATACTGAAAGCAGGGAGGTAAATGTTAGCTCACCTCTATACTGAATGCAGACAGGTAAATGTTAGCTCACCTCTATACTGAAAGTAGACAGATAAATGTTAGCTCACCTCTATACTGAAAGTATACAGGTAAATGTTAGCTCACCTCTATACTGAATACAGACAGGTAAATGTTAGCTCACCTCTATACTGAATACAGACAGGTAAATGTTAGCTCACCTCTATACTGAATACATCGAGGTAAATACCTGGCCAAGCGTTTTTAACTAGTAGCATAGATTTACTGTATCTATAAGTCAGATTTTTGGGAGGTAAATTTTAGTCCAGAACTCTGTGTCTGACTTATAAGCCAGTCCTAGAAACATCCCTATTTTTCTGGCGATGAAATATATTAAAGTTCTACAACAATGATCAACATGATCATTGACAACAAGTGGGAGAAATTTTTAAGATTCTCTCATAAAGAATGATGCAGTATGCATGCAGTGCTTATAGAATTTAATGATTTTAGGTTTGTATAAAATGTATATTATTTAATTTATGTATTGTTAACATCACAAAAATGATGAAGTATAGACATTGTACCTCAAATAAATAGAACATTCATCTAAAATAAGCAACTGTTTCAAGTAAAAAAAAAATTAGTAGCAGGTCAATGTTGAATTCCTTCAAAATAATTTCAAAAAATACAACCAACTTATAAGCAAACCGACTTATAGGTGAGTATATACAGTTGTGAGTTTTCACAGGTAAATGCTGGGATACGCTTACCTGATGGTATGCACTGAAAACAGCTAACTACCCGCCAAGTATATTTAACTTGAAATGCATACTAAGATCAGACAGATCGCATTGTGTTTAAACTTGTAGAGTAGCCTAAATATATGAAGTAAAGCCATTTTGGCCTATAACTCCCTACAAACTAGAAGTCCTATACTAAATAGGATTATACATGTATCTCTAAAATGTATATATATACAAATATAGAAAAAATCATTAGAGAACTCGGGAGATCAATTAAGAATTTCACCATAACAGGTGTATCATTGGACTAAACAGCATTCAAAAAGCAGGAATTAAGAACATAATGTACTGTGCTTAACTGACAGCTTCGAAGAAGAAAATAAGTCAGTTCTGGTAGAGAGACAGATTTTATACTTCGAAAACTCGGTGGAGTGTTTATTTGTATAATCCGAAATACAATGATTCTAATCATCAAAAGTATCCACAATTAGAAATAACCAGTCTTTGTTCATGTAAAATAAGGCAAAGATCAGCTTATCAATGAAGCTCCAACCACTGACTTTTTTTTATATATAATTAATGATCTATGACGTGTACTTTTGTGAATGGTACCAGCCCTGGATTAAGTTCCGTTGTAATCACTGTATATTTGTGTTTTATTCCAATTTAGTTGTACTTTTTGCAGAGTCTAATACCTTGTGTACTTTAAATAGTCTACTGATCTTGTATGTCAGATGGCTGTTTAGATATTGTAAAGCTAAAATTATCTCCCTTTAAGTATTGTCATGGAAATTGTGTTAATTGAGATTAATCATGCAGAAGATTTTTATCAGCATATTATACTGTTTATTTTTTTTTTCTGAAAGGTGTTTACTTTATTGTAGATTTACACTTTAAAATGGTAGTAATTGGGGGAATCACAAAATACCTTATTTTTGAAAATTTCTCAAAATCTGAATTGTTTACATACCATTTTTTCCATGGAAATATTTAGATCTATATCTAAGGTTAACAAAGTTGCATATTTTATCACGGGTGATCACATGTTAAATATTTGGATAACAGTCTTTTAAACATGTTTACCCTCATTTTGGTGATATCAAGTTTTACTATTATCTTTTTTTTTTAACTTTGAAAAAAGTAAAATGTAAAAAGCAGGTCTAGTGTTAAAACACAAGTAAATTTGACAAAATACTGAAATTCTGTTGCTAACAGTCACTTAGAAAATGGGGAGTTTGGTAGGGTTCAAGGATTTAGGTACCTTATGATTCATATCAATTCCATTTTCATATCTTAGGCCACAATTTGATATTTTGAATTCAAAAGTTATGGAAAAATCTGATAATACAATTAAAAAATACAACTTTCCTGTCTTATTTTCATTTTGTTTAAACTTGAAAAATGTCAGTTCATTGTAGAGATGTACTATGTTTTTATTTCAAATGATTCACCAGGTCAGATTGTAATTAATCTGTGTTATACAAATTCTACTTTCACAGTATTTCAGTTTTCTTTCAGTCCAAAAATATCAATAGAATTTCCTATGCATATGAATGCCCCTCCTCGAAGAAGGGAGGGCATATTGCTTTGCTGTTATCTGTCGGTCGGTCTGTCTGTTAGTCCACCAACAGTTTTCGTTCATTTTCTTTGCAGAGGTTGCACAAACTGAAATGAAATTTGGTATACAGATTTATCATAAAAATATCTAAGTCAAATTTTGTTTTAGGTACGATCAAGCAATTTTTGACAAAGTTATGCCCCTTGGACTTAGAAAATATCCAATTATTGGGGGGGGGGGGGGGATAAGTGTTTCACAAATATCTCTTGTTTTGTTTTTTTAATTTATGACCAGTTTAAGGTTTATAGGAACAATAATGTTTAGTGTCTTTAAATCAGGTTCTACTGAAGGACACCCATTCTATCAGTGTTCTTATCCTGACAGACTCAATGGAATGCTCAACAAATCACAACAGTTTTAATTAAAAGCCAAAAAAAAAATAATAATCTGGAAAATTTATTGTTTAATTTCATAATTCAGTGGGCCGCAGAAATTCCTTTGACATAAATCTGATTTTAATTTTCCTAAAACACAGAGTCCTGTTGTCTCTATAGCACATTTATAGACAATTTGCAAAACAGGGAAATAGCAGATTTGGCTTATTTACTTGTTCATTAGTGGGACCATTGATTCTGTCCTCATCATTGGTACTGGTTTGTGGAACAGAACTTATTTTGCTGACCTGAGCCAGAAGTTCAAGTGAGCTTTCCTGATCAAACTTTCTGTCTGTTGTGATTAAACTTTGTACATTTTCAACCTTTTCCCAGAACCACTTGGCCAATTTGACCCAAATTTGCCAAAAGCATCTGAAGTAAATTGGATTGAAGTTTGCTTAAATGAATATCCATGCCCTTTTTAAGGGGAGATAGCTAAGAAATAACAAAAACAGGGTTATGTCATTTAAAAGTGTTTTTCTCAGGAAGAACTGATCCATTTAAAACAAAACTTATGGAAAAGGTGTGATGTTTAGTGTAAATTCATTTCTTTTCAAATCATGCTTCAAGAGATTTGATGGAACCATAAAAGGGGTCTCTGATAGTGATGTAACTCAGGTGAGCATTGTGGCCCATGGGCATCTTGTTGAATTCACAAGTATGAATCAAATTTGTGTATACTGGAGGAAAAGAGCATTTAAAGCTGTTTTGTAAATGAGTGTTATCAGATTTAATTAAGGTACAGAATGTTACAGTGATTTTTGTAATTTTCTTTGATCCCCATTTATGGGGAGGGGGGGGGGGTATACATGTATCTTGATAAAAAGATGGACCACCGTTCTAACTCTGATTCATCTAACTTTAAAATTAGTTTGTTTAATTAACACTGAAATATAAAAGTAACGCCTTAAAACCAACAGAATAAGGCCATTCAACTTTGACTTTTTTAAAAGCAAAAATAATGGTTTAATAATTTGTTTCTAATGAAGTAGATGTTTATGTGTCTGCTTAAGTTAGTCTATGTTTCCGACGGCTACCGCTGATGACATCACAGCACACCTGGGGGATTAAGTCTATCATCCTATCTATTGATTGGTTGAGATCACTTCCTGTGTCAGGTGCCAGGATGCTACATCTTTAATTGAACTCCCTCATGCAGGGAAAAAAGTACAACAATCTCTGAAGTGGAAAATTGGTTAAGCTTAAAAATGTGAAGAGTTCTGGGGTAAAATAATGGAAAAACTGTTCATTGAATACTTTAAACTCCACAATCAAATATTCTATCAACAGCATACACAGTATTTGGTATACTCTGTTTTGTTTTAAATTTTAATTTCATTTGCACTATTACCATGTATACCCTATACCAATATGAAGTACAACAAAAGAGCATAAAGTAATCGATCCTTACAAAGGCTAATGATCTCAAACAACTCAAAACATGGAATGATCTTGCAGTTAAAATTCTCAAAAGATATTTGTCGCCAAATTAACCAGAACAAGATTCAAATAATTACTTCACAGTATTAAATCAGAAGACACAGAGGAAATTAATTTCTGTGTTGACCTTTTGAATGCCTGTTTGTGACAGTATTTTTTAGCTGTTGTCTGGTATGAAGATACCATTTTATTGTTTATTAAGTTGAAGATGTACAATTTCTATCATAGGGTTGAGTACTCGGTCAGGTATAGAGATTTCTGATCTTACTGTGAAAGTAGTTGTTTTGTCGGTGGCCATAAATTGTGACAAATAAGGGAGATAATTTTGTCACCTGCGATGCCTGACTCTCTCACAGCAGCGGAAAGTTTTCTCCTTTCACAACAATTTCCATCTGCGTCATTTTCCCCACTGGTCTGACATTTTTGGGTTGCTTCATCACAGGTCGTCAATGTTTTTACTGTTGTGTTGCGTACTGCAGTAATCATATGCTCCCCATGCTTTCTTTGATATTTTTCTGACCACAAATTTGATCTAATAATAGTGACACTAGTACTACAATGCAATCCTGTTGGTTTGGGAACTTTTTCTGATTTTTTCATTATTTTTTAAACAGTAATTGGGATTCATGTGATATACACTTTAGCTTCTTTTATCTTTACCGCCATTTGATTGTGGCCCACATTCTGAAAGGCTCATACAATAATTCAGTTAATATGTCGTTTAATGTAGATTAACCCACAACAATAACACATAATCAGTAAATTTGATACAAAGTGGAAGGTACTTCAGGTCCATTGTGTAGACTTTAAATCCAGGAAGTTTTCATTTTTGTTTAAAGCTCTTTAATAGCCCTGAAATATGTATCAAATAATCTGAAAGCTTGCAGTGTATGTAACTTTGCTTTTTTGTATTTTTGTATAACAACAACAAATTGCCAGATGAAATGATTATCTTCTAACAATTATTTACAAAGTGTGGTGATTCTAGACCTCACAGTGTGCAAATTTTGATCAGGACACTATTTGACTATGTATAGCCATAACATTCTGAAATGAGGCCACAATGACCTACTTTCACTCATATTGGAATATCACTAATTGCCGATTGATGGCTGCAAATTAAGACCTGTACTTGGCACTTATGACCATTGAGCAATGAGGTATCATTTTTGTGCCAGCACCCTGCACCATGACACTTGACCTTGGTTTCTAGAGTCCTCTCTTAGATACCAGTCTTCATGTCCCACAGTGGGATTTGAACCTGCGATGTAAGAAACCTATTCTTACTCCATGACATTAGAGTGTTAACCACTGCGCCATGCAGGCGACCATGAAACCATTGTCCCTGGCAAACTGTCTACAATGAAGAAATAGTTGTTCTAGTGCTTTATTCATGTACTTATGTTTTTTGGGTCTTTTTATTTTCACTGGTAAAAATCTGCATTCTATAATTTACAAATTCATTAGGCAATAAGAATATGTGTTAATTTGTGGTCTTGTGCACATATCATTTTTGCAATAAAAAAATTCAGTCATTTTTCTCTCCAAGGTGTGTTAAGGCCAGTTTTGGAAAGCATTTGTTCCCATACAGAGAAAGTTTTTGTAACTTAAGGTGGAATGACCCTTGCTAAGAGGGATAACTCTAAATTACTCCATTTAATGAAGCTTTTCATGTTCAGCAATGATTTTTCTGGTATTATAGTACTTTTAATAACTTTTTATTTGCAAGAATTTCATTTTTTTTACATGATTATTCTAGATTCTCTGCTAGTAGAAATTTCATGTTCACATACATTTTATAAAGATTTTATACAACAATAACCAAAATTTGTACCAAAAAAAAATTATGTGTATTTTCTTGCTTATAAATACCAAATAATCATCTCACTAAAATAAGAGGTTGTGAAAAATTTGGTGATCTACAGTATACACAAATTTAATTTGCTAATAAACTTCATTTATTGTCTCCTTTCTGTGTTAGATATTAGTCATAATTACAGGGAATTCTACTTTAGAGGCCCATCTTTTTCCATTGTTTCAGTTGTGGATTTTCTAAAGGCCATTTATTTGAACATTTTGTAAAATAACACTGGCATTGCCCATGTTGTCCATTATGACTTTACAAACTAAAGTTGCTCTGTATAAAATGGTGAACTTTAGGATCCGATCATATTTGCTGAACCTGTACTTGTAAAATCTATTACATGAAATGTTCGTTTACTTCCTTTCCATTTAAGTCAATGTTATTTGTATTATCACGGCTTGTAGATGCCATATGTTGACATTCAAGTTAGAAAGACTCCAGGATCTAGTGCTGAATCAAACTCCTAATTTATCAATGCTCATATGAATGGGATCCAGGATGATGTGGGCTAACAGTTACTCTTAGAAAACCAATTTGAAACAAATTAAGACATTTCAAATGCCTAATTGATATAGAAAACATGCAAGAATTGAGATACTGCTATATTAATTTGTTAATGAAAATATGAGAGCATTTTAACCATACCAAGTTCAGAACTCGTGCATAAATTTGCTTTATATAGAAAAATAAACTTGAAACAGTGAAACTTTAGCTATTAGATAGATAAATCTTACACTGTACCCACAGAGGACATTGGATAAAGAGTGTGCAGTGTTTAATCTAAGACAAATGTCAATACCAAAACAGACCCATTGTAAAATTCTAGAAGGGTTGATTATTTTCAGCTCACAAAATTCTGGTAGTCATAAACCTCAATAAAAATTTAATAAAAATGGGGGGAGGGGGGTTAAAATTTTCTCTTTTTAACTTGTAAAAAATGCAAGAAAGCAGGTCACTTTTAGATGGTCAGAATCTCAATGATATCTTTTTTTTTTTGTACAACTAATTTAAAGGCCATGCATATTTTTTGATGATTCATTTATTTTGTATTTAGCTTGTCAAGGAGCAGAAAGGTAGAATAGCAGAGTTATCTAAAGCCAAACAGGAACAGGCAGTGGAATACAGGGTAGGGACACAATGGTCTTATATTTTATTACTTATCATCATAAGAATACTGAATATTTTACATGAAGTTTACTTCCTACAACAGTTACCTACAACACACTTGTAAATATTTAAAGAATGAATGAAAAATGTGAAGAAAACGAGCAGTGATCGATCTTATGAAAAACAAATAATACAAATCTGTGAACAGGGCATAAAACACAGACTCCCTGAAATTCCAGAGGTGGGATCAGGTGTCTAAAAGGAGTAAGCATCCCCTGTCAACCTGTCACCCTCACCATGAGCCTTATGTATTGATTAGGTAGAATATTCTGTAGTCAAATTAAGTATAAAAACAAAGGCCTAACAATTTGTATGAAATATGTCAGTCAAAATAGACCCAATGATAAGTGAATTTAATAGCTACTCAAATTATATTGTATAACCTAGGTTGGGACAGTTTATGCTTTAAAAACCATGAAGCAGTTTAGAAAAGCATAAATTGTGTCAACCTAGGTTGTAACACCTGTAACTTGGGTAGCTGTTAAATTTATTCCCTATAATTCAATTTTCTATAAGTGTAAAAAATAAGACAATATTCCCTTGAAAATGCCTTCAAATTCTACAAATTTTAAATGAAACATCAGGCAGATCCATATGTTTTTGATGCAAGTCATTATGACATAGATACAGACATTGTGACATGTGGCACAGATTATACAATATAAACTTAATTTCCTAGCCAGCCAAGTCGTGTTATGAGGGCATGAATTAAGTGTTATGGGATTATGTTTTTAGCTCACCTTGACAAAGTCGAGATGAGCTTTTGCTATACAGTCAGCATCAGTTTGGCTTTCTGGTTAAAGTTTTTGGACCAGGTCCATTCCCAAGTAACTATATTCCCTGAACCAAACTTGCCTGGATGATGCATCTAGGAATGTACATTACCAGACATGCTTCAGATGCTGGATCTGACCTAAATTTTCCAGATGAGTAAACAGGTTAAAGTTTTTAAAGCAAGTTCATTCCCAAGGAACTCTTAGCCCAACCTTAACCAAACTAGCATGGATGATGTATCTAGGAATGAACATTACCAGACTTGCTTTGGATGCTAGATCTTACCTACATTTTGTAGATGAGTGACCAGGTTAATGTTTTTGGAGTAGCTTTTTAACTATGTAGCCTGTTATGATTAAATCTTCATGGATGAAGCAACTAGGGATGGACACTATATTTTCTGGATGAGTGAACAGGTTAAAGTTTCAGGAGCAGTTCCATTCCCAAGTAACCGTATGTCCTACTTAAACCAAACTTGCAGGGATATTGATCTCAGTATGTACAATAACTAGGAAAAAAATTGGTGTGAGATATGCCATACTTTTACACTTATTTGTTGAGTTTCGTAATCTTTGATTACCTATGTTTGTCATTGTAACAGGACAGGATTCAGATGCTTGAAGCCCATGTGGAGGAAGCTAGAAAAAGAATGTTACAACTAGAGCTTCTGAAACAGGTAAGCTGTAACAAACACTAAGTTAAAATCACTGTAGAGCTTCTGTAACAAACAGGAAGTATATATCACTGTAACAGGTAACAGATAAAGCTTCTGAAACAGGTAAGCTGTAACAAATAGGAAGTATATATCACTGTAACCAGTAACAGATAGAGCTTCTGAAGCAGATAAACTGTAACAAACAGGAAGTATATATCACTGTAATAGATAACAGATAGAGCTTCTGTAACAAACAGGAAGTTTATATCACTGTAATAGGTAACAGATAGAGCTTCTGTAACAAACAGGAAGTTTATATCACTGTAATAGGTAACAGATAGAGCTTCTGTAACAGGTAAGGTGTGACAAACAGGAAGTTAATATTGCCGTAACCAGTAAGAGATAGAGCTGAAACAGATAAGCTGTAACAAACAGGAAGTATATCACTGTCACCGGTAACAGATAGAGCTTCTGAAACAGGTAAGCTGTAACAAACAGGAAGTTCAATAACAGATAGAACTGCTGTAACAAACAGGAAGTTTATTTCACTGTAACAGATAGAACTGCTGTAATAAACAGGAAGTTTATATCACTGTAACAGATAGAACTGCTGTAACAAATAGGAAGTTAATATCACTTATAACAGGTAACAGATAGAGCTTAGGGAACAGATAAGCTTACTGAAATAAGAGATGTACCCAAACAGGTGAAATCTCAATATCAAGTGACTTATGCTAATACACAGGTAAAAACGTCATAGTCACTTAAAAATGTAGGGATGACATTACACAGGTAAAAACATCATAGTCACTTACAAATGTAGGGATGACATTACACAGGTAAAAACATCACAGTCACTTAAAAATGTAGGGATGACATTACACAGGTAAAAACATCATAGTCACTTACAAATGTAGGGATTACATTACACAGGTAAAAACGTCATAGTCACTTAAAAATATAGGGATGTCATTACACAGGTAAAAAACATCACAGTTACTTCAAAATGTAGTGATGATATTACACAGGAAAAAACATCATAGTCACTTAAAAATGTAGGGATGACATTACACAGGTAAAAACATCATAGTCACTTAAAAATATAGGGATGATTTTACACAGGTAGAACATCACACTAAAACACATGTATGAAATAACACTTAAACATAGGTTAGATATCAAACTAAAATACAGGTATGCAATAACACTTAAATATAGGTTAGATATCAAACTTAAACACAGGTATGTAATAACACTTGAATATAGGTTAGATATCAAACTAAAACACAGGTATGCAATAACATTTAAACATAGGTTAGATATCAAACTAAAACACAGGTATGCAATAACACTTAAACACAGATAAGATATTAAACTAAAACATAGGTATGCAATAACTCTTAAACATAGGTAAGATATCAAACTAAAGCACAGGTATGTAATAGCATTTACGCCAAAATTAATCTTTAAAACCCCTTCTATTAACCAGGTTGTACTGTTTCCCCACTCCTCCCCCCTCCCCCCCCCCCCCACGATTGGGAGGTGAAAGAGAATTTTGAGCAAGGTAATTTTAATGAATTAAATTTATTATCAGCACAATTTCAAAGATAAAGTAATTTTAAAACTGAAATAAAATGTTTATAATCTTCAACATGAAAAATTGCATAAAGTGGAATATAATGCTGGCACAACACAGCTACATTGGAAATGAATGAAAATAATTTTCTGTAATGATAATCAACCAGATTTTTAAATTTTTGGGAATACAATTCAAATAAGCAGGTTACCAGTTATACCCAAACTGATGACCAAACCGACTCTCTGATACCAAGTAAGATATCACAGCTACCTGTCATATAATTGTCATACATGTATACCTGACAAGAAGATTAAATAATAAAAGTTCTCAAATTCTCTAATAAAGTAATTGGTCAAGGGTAATAATTCTGCTACAAAACATTAGGGAAATTATAAAATTCAGTATATAAATACATGTACAAGTAATTTATGTCAAGAAGGACAATTCTTTTTTTACAGTACTATATCATACAAAGCAGAAATATAAAATAGGTCATTTTAAACTTTTTAAGACAGCTCTCTCTCTCTCTCTCCAATTAGTATAATAGCTCAAGAGAAATAACTCTAAATATGTTGTTATATATTATATGTCATTCTTAAGCTTTGTACAAAATGAATTCAGTTACTGGACATAGACAATAACTCTGGACAAAAGATATTACAGAGGTACCAGGTCAATACATACCATGTTTCCATTCAAAGGTCAATACATACCATGTTTCCATTCAAAGGTCAATACATACCATGTTTCCATTCACAGGTCAATACATACCATGTTTATATTCACAGGTCAATACATACCATAATTCCATTCACAGGTCAATACATACCATAATTCCATTCACAGGTCAATACATACCATAATTCCATTCACAGGTCAATACAATCCATAATTCCATTCACAGGTCAATACAAACCATAATTCTATTCACAGGTCAATACATACCATGTTTCCATTCTCAGGTCAATACATACCATAATTCCATTCACAGGTCAATACATACCATGTTTCCATTCTCAGGTCAATACATACCATGTTTCCATGCACAGGTCAATACTTACCATGTTTCCTTTCACAGGTCAATAATACCATGTTTTCATTCACAGGTCAATACATACCATGTACATACATACAAACTATTTTACACAGCTTTGATTTTCTGCAGGTTTATTTTTGATGTTTCAAGCAAATGCAAATCTCTGAACTTTGCAACTATGATACAAGCCAAAATAAAGACTTTACTTAAGAAATGAAGAGAAAACCAATTAGGGGAAAACAAAATTAACAACAATGTAGAGTTCAAGAAAGGAGGTTATTTTTTTTTTTTTTTTTTTTGCAGTGGATGTCTTGTTCATGACATGTATCAAGAGAGATCACTTTATATGTTTAAGACTAACATAATTCAAATGGTGCACATTTTTTCCTCAGTCTACATGACACACAGTATGAATTGAGGGCTTTTAAAACTTTCTGTTTGAGTTTATTTGCATATATTTCTACATGTTTTATTATTTTATTATTAACAGGACAAGACCAAATTACTGGCACAGGTAGAAGCCCAGGAGTCAGTTATTTGTGGTCTGAGGGCTGAGAGGAAATTATGGGGCCAGGAACTAGCACAACAAGGTATGAGTCAAACATGGCCAAGAATCGGAATTAAAGATTTTACTTACAGCATCCAGACCCTTCTGTCTCAGATTTAGGAATACCTGGGGTTATTACTATGCTTTCATAAGAGAATTACTTGGCAAAAATATAAAAGATTTTGCATGTAATTTTGATGAAGATGAATTAAGACTAAATTGTATAAAGGTTTAAATTTGTGGATGTATAATTTCACTTTCCCATACGTTTGAATCGGAGCAAATATGAAGTTTGTCATCAGTGTTTATATAATGTTTTTGAAATTCTTATTGAATTGGTCATCAGCCTTCATTAGTCAATCATAATGAAATCAGTATGAGCAAAATTAGAATTTAGAAAGTCTAGATGTATAAATTTCTTTTCAATTATCTTTTAAACTAAAAAAGGTGTGTTCCATGATGTAATCAAAATTTACCCCTATAGATCCATATTTACAAAGTATCAGGAAAAAAACTGTGATATGAGTTAGAAGTTAGGATTACTTTGTAAAAGATAAATTCTGTACTTGTATACCTTTTATTACAGTGGCGTCATTGTGAAAGGGATTAAACATGTATTTATGACTTGGAGGTTATCAATACCTTACACATAGATCTCTGATAACTGAAGATTTTACTGTCAGACTGTGTATTCTGTCTGAGATTTCCCTGATTTACAGTGCTGTATTATGTAATTTGTCAGGTTCTTCTCTGGCCCAGGATCGAGGGAGACTGGAGTCTAAGATCGAGTCCCTCAACTCGGAGGTCACAATCCTCAAGAAAAACCTAGAGGTAAGATTGTCAAGGAGGATAACTCTTGTAAGCTTGTTCTAGTTCCTCTTCTCATACTTAAAAAATTAATGAAATATTCACAGATTCAGGAAGACAGTATCACTAAGTGTTGGTATCAACTAGATTAGATTTTACTGTCTTATTTTAGAAGCAAGGTCAGGTCAAGGTCATCTTTTTCCTTGACATAAAAAATCAAAATTATTGTTGCCAATTATGTGATTCCTACTTCTATTTCAAAAAATCAAAGTTTTTTTTTCATTTTGCATAAAAAAAAAAACAATGCAACATAGTCAGGGTCTATCAGAGGATGCTACCAAAATGAATAATTTAACTAAAGTAGATATCAGCTAACCTGTATTTCCTCTATATTTCTTAATTTTTTTAGGGAATATTATTTATCTTTATTTGCTTTGTGCATTAAAAGGACAAGGTATGGTAATTAGCAGAATCTGGCCCGTTATTTGATGTGAAAATCGGAACACATTCAAAACTGTGATACTTTGTAGTTTAAAACCAGCACTAATTTTCATTCAAAGTTTACAGGGAGGCCACAAGAGGGTGCAGAAGTAAGACATTTTCCCGAATTTCCTCAATTCTGGTGGAATTTTGTCAAATTTAAGATACTTTTCACTTCAGGAAACATAGAGCACAAGCTTGCCTATCTGGGATTTTTATACACAAGATGCATCTGATACTAGAGCATGAAATATATAAATTTGGTACATAGGCAAGCTTGTGCTCTATGTTTCTGAAACAAAATATGCTGCAAAATCGATGAAAATTCACATAAAAATGAGAAAATTCGGAAATTGACATATTTTCTGACCTTCCTGTGACCTCTGTGTATCCCATAAGTTAGAATCAATACTCATTTTGTGGAAGGGGTGACAACAGGTTTTCATTGATAAACTGTTGCATCATTCTAAAAGACACCCCAAAACAGGGGACAAAAAGGGGTCTTAGCCTATCTTGTCATTTGTCTTATTTTTAGATTTGGTGAAATAGTCATATTAAATGTATAAAATTATACAAAAACAATAAGTTTTGATTATTTAATAAGAGAGAGAAAGAGACTTTTACTGATTTTTTGCTGAAATAAGTTCTTAGATTGGAAGCTCTTTTTTTGTTTGGAAAATTATATTTATTTGATATATTCTAAAACTAAAGTCCCTGAATAATAAATTTCATTTTCTTTAGAAAATTCCTCCAAGCCTTTGATTGTTCATTGTTCTGTAGTAAATTTGAAAAGCAAAAAAGATTTTAATATGCCACCATTCCGCCAAAAAATATAGTCCTTCCTGGATTTTAAACTCAGTTTCCCTAACACCCAACTATAAAAGACATTTAATCAAATATACTTGAATATTTTATTTAGTCAGAAACCAGACAAGAATCCATCCTTACTGGATATCAAGAAATTTATGAAATAAAGTGATGTATCAGTACAGGGACCTTTATTTTATTTTGTTACTAATTTTAAAAAAAATACTTTAATGAAGTTTCCTGTCATTTTTTTTCTACATGTAAGTTGTCTTTTTTTTTTCTATATGCATTTTGTAAATATTTAATTTTTTTTATTTAGAGAGAGACTGATGCTTTAAAGATAAAAACAAAAATGCTGGAAGATCAGACAGAGACTATTAGGAAATTAAAGGAGGTGAGATCAGATTCCATAAATTATGTACTTGTAGCATTATTAACTTTTTATAAGATAATGAAAATTTTCTACTGGTTCCAGAAATATTAACTGAAAAAAAATAATTTAAATCTGAGAAGTACGAAATGAATGAACTTCTGCTCCGACTAAAGAAATTAATAAATATTATTTATAAATATTAAATCTGATACCTTACAGAATCTTGTAGCATACATGTAAAAACATGCTTTCAATTCCAATTTTTTTTAATTTTTTTTTTTAATTTAAAAAAAAAAACATTTGAGACTTACTAATTTGAGTTAATGTATGACTTGCCAGGCTGTGATGGAGAGAGATGAGGAAATTAAGAGAACTCGTGAGGAAGCCTTGAAGACCCAGAGAAATCTAGAGGAACAGTTATCAGAGGAAAGGGCAACTATGCAGGAAAATCAGGTAATATACAGCTCAGGTGTACACAGATAATGTACAGCTCAGGTGTACACAGGTAATGTACAGCTCAGGTGTACACAGATAGTGTACAGCTCAGAGTACATAAGTATTATAAAGATCAGGTGTACACAGATAATGTACAGCTCAGAGTACACAGGTATTATATAGATCAGGTGTACACATGTAATGTACAACTTAGGTGTACACAGGAATTATACAGATGAGGTATTCAAAGGTAAAGTAAAGCCCAGGTGTACACAGGTGATGTACAGCTCAGGTGTACACATTTAATGAACAGTTCAGGTGTACACAGTAATGTATGGCTCAGGTATGAACAGGGAAAGCAAAGCTCAGGTGTACAGAAGTATTGTACAGTTCAAAATATACAGAGGTATTGTGCAGTTCAGGTGTGCTCTCAAAATCAGGTAATGTAAAACTTGGATGTACACAGAAGATAAGGCAATGAACAGCTGAGATACACACTGGTTAACATTTTAGGAGAAAGTACTAGAAAATTTGGAGTAGTACAGCTTGTGCACAGATTTAGATAAAACATGAGAAGATTGGGATAAGTACAGCTAACAGGAAAAATTGATTTTTTCTTCTAATTGTTCTTTTTGTCTCCAGGAAACTTTGGAGAGGTTAAGGGAACGCAAACAAGAACTTAAACAAGAAACTCTGGATCTAAAAGCAGAACTAGAGGATTCTAAAAAGGCTCACAGGTACTTGTTCACACATAGGTATACAGGTACTTAGGTATACAGGTACTTGTTTATATACAGTTTTTGGTCTGGATAATGTTTAAATGTGATTTACATGATAAGTTATTATTTGTTTAACTTTCTTGAAAGAAGGCATCTTCGCTAGCCAAGGATTTCTGATTCGCTACTCTCCTCATAAGCCCTTGGCATACGGTGTTAAAAAAAGTTGGGATTTTTTTCTCAAGTTGTGATTGGAGTTGATCGACATCGTTCAACCAATCAGCAATTGTTTTTTTGTAAATGACGATATTTGTGTTCGGGATATATCTTGACTCTTTAATATCGGTAATGTAAAACGCAAGTAAACAATGATCCGTAAGATAGCATGCCATTCTATGAATAGCTATATGGTGTCATCCGTGCAAAATATGTGATTAAGAATCTATACTGAAGATGTAGATTTGCATTTTTACATGTTTAGATAACAAATTAACATAACTCGATACCTTCTTGTTAATTATTCTTTAAAAACAATTTTTTTTTAAATACGCTTTTTATTTCTGTCGATGACGCAATCTGTGCGTACCTGGTAAGAATCATGATCACGTGACAAAAACAATCCCGTCTTTTGTCAGCACCGTATGCCAAGGGTTTATGAGGAGAGTAGCGTATCAGAAACCCTTGGCTAGCGAAGATGGAAAGAAGGGGGGGGAGGTACCAACTTCATAGGAACCTTTATTGTTCCAATTTAAAGTTAAGTATACTTTCAAAAAACACTTAGAGGAAGCTTCAGTGTAAATTAAATACATGCAATTTGATGTACAGTTAGAAAATATATATTGAATTTATTATTATCATAGCATTCTTAACAATAAATGGAAGGAAAAGTCTCAACTGATTGGTCAGTTGGAGAAACAGGTGACTGAGATGAGGGATAACTGGGAAAGCAAGGAGAAAAAGCTCACTGAGGAGAGAGACAAGGCAATACAGGCAGCTAAGTATGTAGTGTTAGTGTTAACATAGCTATACAGAATCAAAGTATGTAGTGTTAGTGTTAACAGAGCTATACAGCTAAGTATGTAGTGTATGTTATTGTTAACAAAGCTATACAGCTAAATATGTAGTGTATGTTATTGTTAACAAAGCTATACAGCTAAGTATGTAGTGTTATTGTTAACAGAGCTATACAACTAAGTATGTAGTGTTATTGTTAACAGAGCTATACAGAATCCAAGTATGTAGTGTTAGTGTTAACAAAGCTATACATCCAAGTATGTAGTGTTAGTGTTAACAGAGCTAAATAGACAGCCAAGTATGTAGTATTAGTGTTAACAAAGCTAAACAGCTAAGTATGTAGTGTTATTGTTAACAAAGCTATACAGCTAAGTATGTAGTGTTAGTGTTAACAAAGCTATACAGCTAAGTATGTAGTGTTAGTGTTAACAAAGCTATACAGCTAAGTATGTAGTGTTAGTGTTAACAAAGCTATACAGCTAAGTATGTAGTTTTAGTGTTAACAAAGCTATACAGCTAAGTAATGTAGTGTTAGTGTTAACAAAACTATACAGCTAAGTATATAGTGCAAGTGTCAACAAGGCTATACATCCAAGTATGTAATGTTAGTGTTAATAGAGCTATACAGCTAAGTATGTAGTGTTAGTGTTACCAAAACTATACAGAAGCTAAGTATGTAGTGTTAGTGTTAACAAAAATAAAGCTATACAGCTAAGTATGTAGTGTTATTGTTAACAACGCTAAATAGGCAGCTAGGTATGTACTATTAGTTTAACGATGTCATACAACTAAGTAATTATGTAGCATAAGTTTTAACAGAGCTATACAGCTAAGTATGCACTGTTAGTGTTAACAAAGCTATACAAAGCTATACACACAACTAATTAACTATGTAGTAAAAGTGTTAACAAGGCTTTTCAGATAAGTATTTAGTGTTAACAAAGCTTATAGAAAATAAGTATGTAGTGTTAGTGTTAAGAAAATTAAACAGGCAGCTAGGTATGTAGTGTTAGTGTTAACAGAGCTAAATAGACAGCCAAGTATGTAGTGTTAGTGTTAACAAAGCTATACAGCTAAGTATGTAGTGTTATTGTCAATAAAGCTATACAGCTAAGTATGTAGTGTTAGTGTCAACAGAGCATTAAAGGCAGCCAATTATGTAGTGTTAGTGTTAACAAATCTAAATAGGCAGCCAATACAGGTAACTAAGTATGTAGTGTAAGTGTTAACAAATCTAAACAGGCAGCCATTACAGGTAACTAAGTATGTAGTGTTAGTGTTAACAAAGCTAAACAGGCAGCCATTACAGGTAACTAAGTATGTAGTGTTAGTGTTAACAAAGCTAAACAGGCAGCCAATACAGGTAACTAAGTATGTAGTGTTAGTGTTAACAAATCTAAATAGGCAGCCAATACAGGTAACTAAGTATGTAGTGTTAGTGTTAACAAATCTAAACAGGCAGCCAATACAGGTAACTAAGTATGTAGTGTTAGTGTTAACAAATCTAAACAGGCAGCCAATACAGGTAACTAAGTATGTAGTGTTAGTGTAGTACAGTTGTACGGACATTTTTTTGAAAAAATGATAAAGCCTGAAAGACTTCAAAGTGTGTAGCTCTAGTTTGAATTTTATAAATACAAGAAGTTAAGCACATTTACCTTAAACAGGCCATTTAGGCACTGGGTTCTAAAATTTTGCTTCCTTATAATCGAGGTTGTTTATACCTGTATTGGGAACAAAGTGAATTTGTAAAAAAACGCTATAAGCTAGTTCATTATAACTGTGTTTTACTGTATGTGGTAATATTTACATTTCCAATGTCTTTGTCCGAGATAAAATTACAAATTGTAAAAATACTTTATTTCTACGTAAATCTACTGGTTCATCGATAGGCGCGGTTAAAAAAAAATCATGTGCGGGGAGGGACAAATAGAGACAGAAGCGGGGCTATTAGCATGGGAATTTGCAGAATCAGGAGCATGTAAATATAAGGAATAACTGTCAGATTTTTTGGATTCATGACGATGATCAATCGATTGGCTTGCGTGATAATTTTATGCATAATTGCCTTCGGCGTTTATGCAAATTATCACGCAAGCCACTCAATTGATCACATCATGAATCCAAAAAATTAGGCAGTTATTCCTTAATTACAGTGAAACCTGTATAATCCAACATGCACTGGGAACCAATTTTGTTTCAAAATAGACAGGATTTCTGTTTACACTGTGAAAAGAACATTGAAAACAGTAAAATGGCAATCAAAACGAAGGTTGAAATTCACAGTGAAACGGCTTGCACAGGTGTTAGTTAAGGCAGTTTTCTCTGTATTTATAAACTGGCATTCTATGAAGTTTGACTTATTTTCCAGTATTGCTATAGAGAAGCTGAAGACAGTGGATGATGCCTTCAGGCACCAGCTTGAGAGTAAAGAAATGAAACACAGAGAGGATATGGCTCAACTGGAAGAGGAAAAACAGATGGAACTAGAACAGGCCAATCAAAGGGTAGGAAATTAATCAGCCAATCAAAGGGTAGGAAATTAATCAGCCAATCAGAATTTCATTTTAGAGACAAGCTAAATTGGGAAGAGAATTCAGAATTAAAAGAATCATTCATTAGGGTAAAAATTTAAAAATAAAAGAATCAATTAAAACAAAATCACTGTTTCAATATTTCCGGTTCTCGAATATCAAAGAAGTTTTAAAAAGTCTCCGTGAGGTTGCTAAAATATTTTGCATTTTATTTAGCTTGTTTAGATATTTGGGAGAACTTTAATATGTATAATAAGTTGTTCAAGAGATTTTCAATTTAACAATAATGTCAACAATAAAGTACCTAACTGAAAATATTATTTAAAATGTTACTGTATTTTAATATAAGAAACTATAAAGTTAACTTTTTGTAAAAATAACTAATTTTTGCTAATATATTCAAGAAAAGGAAGTATATATAATGTATTTAAAAGGAAGTGACAAAATATATATGTTTTTGAGTTTCAACATGTTCAAGCTGAATCATTTTACTTGCCAGGTGATTAATTCCTTTCAAAAAATAAAAAAAAGAAGGTAGAAAAATGAATTTTAAAGGACTGTGAATATAATGACAAGCATTTCAAAGTTCAGGAGTGTCCCTCAAAAGAAGCATTACTGTGCACTTGGTGTTGATAAATGTATTTGTCCTTGAATTGATATTTAAATCACTTCTTTCTTTGTATTTTGGTGGTAATTCTGAACATGACATATATTAATACACACTAGTGGTTCTTTTCATTCCAGATACTTTTATTTTTGTATTCAGAGATAAATCCTGGTGTACAATGAAGTATGAGCTCTTATTACATGGAATTCTATCTGTACACCCAACATGCCCAAATTGTAATATATTCCAAAACATTCATTAATTCACTTACAGTTGAAGTATGGTTTTTTAATTAATTACGATTATGTGTATTCGACATTGATTATTTTTTCAGCATATTTGCTGAGTGATATAGTCAGTGCTTTATGTTTCAATGACAGGTAGTACATGTGCTGTCCTGTTGGTGACCGTAGTATGTTGTAGTACAATTCACATGCCTCTGTGTCATCACTTACAACAAGAGCTGATTGAAATAGTTCTGGTGTTAATAAGTCATTGAGTGATGAGATGGAAGTTACAGGCACATTTTACAACTGATCTTATAGGTTAATTGGTTTGAGAAGGAATTTTACCAAATCATTAAACTTAATTTGAACTTGTTCATTAGCTATGCTGATTCAGATAAGGCATATCAGTGAATGTGTCATTTCTGTAAATCAAAGAGCTACACATACTAAAGGGAATGATTTGACAATGACTTAACAATTTCACACTTTAAAATCTGAAATCATCCATAAGCAGTAAGTATAAAGTGTGATACTTACAGGTGCTGGAATCTGAGGATCAGACTTCTCTATCATCCATCATTTTCTACAACAATTTTTGTAACACCCCCCCCCCCCCCATTTTTATGCCCCGCCATGAATATGGCCGGGGCATATAGTGTTTGTCATGTCCGTCTTCCGTCCTTCCGTCCTTCTGTCCTTCCGTCTGTCCTTCCGTCACACTTTGCGTTTAGCTCTGTTCAAAGCTCAGTTTCAAAGATACCATTCAAGATATTTTTATCAAACTTCATATGCTGATAGATATTGATGAGAGCTATGCAACTGCATCAACATTTTTTGACCTTGACCTTTCCTTTGACCTTGACCTCACTTTTCTTAAATTAGTGTTTAGCTCAGTTTTAAAGATACCATTCAAGGTAGTGTAATCAAACTTCATATGTTGATGCATACTGATGTAAGCTATTCAACTGCATCAACATTTTTTGACCTTGACCTTTCTTTTGACCTTGACTTCACTTTTCTTAAATTAGTGTTTAGCTCAGTTTTAAAGATACCATTCAAGATAATGTAATCAAACTTCATTTGTTGATACATACTGATGTAAGCTATTCAACTGCATCAACGTTTTTTGACCTTGACCTTTCTTTTGACCTTAACCTCACTTTTCTTAAATTAGTGTTTAGCTCAGTTTTAATGAAAGCATTCAAGATATTTTTAACAAACTTCATATGCTGATACATAATGATGAGAGCTATTCAACTGCATCAATATTTTTTACCTTGACCTTTCCTTTGACCTTGACCTCACTTTTCTGAAATAAGTTTTAGCTCAGTTTTAAAGATACCATTCAAGATAGTGTTATCAAACTTCATATGCTGATACATACTGATGAGAGCTATTCAACTGCATCAACATTTTTTGACCTTGACCTTTCCTTTGACCTTGACCTCACTTTTCTTAAATCAGTGTCAAACTTCATATGCTGATACATACTGATGAGAACTATTCAACTGCATCAATATTTTTTGACCTTGACCTTTCTTTTGACCTTGACCTTACTTTTCTTAAATTAGTGTTTAGCTCAGTTTTAAAGAAACCATTCACAATATTTTTATCAAACTTCATATGCTAATACATACTGATATAACCTTTTCAACTGCATCAACATTTTTTGACCTTGACCTTTCCTTTGACCTTGACCTCACTTTTCTTAAATTAGTGTCAAACTTCATATGCTGATACATACTGATGTAAGCTATTCAACTGCATCAATATTTTTTCACCTAGACCTTTCCTTTGACCTTGACCTCACTTTTCTCAATTTGTGTTAAAATGTTGCATTACTAATATACCCTCGGCGGGGCATTCATGTCCTATGGACATATTTCTAGTTATAGAATAAAGTGTGAAACAAACAGATGCTTGAAACTGAAGACTAATTTGTAACTAGTTAATTTGTTTATACATATACATGTAACAATCCCCCTCTCCCTCCTAAATACAAAGAAAATATACAAGATTTTATCAAGGAATCTATTGTGGATTAATGACCATGCATATTTTCCATCTCCTAAAGTAAGGTTTGAAGGAATTTTTTTTAATTAATAATCTCTAAAGCTTTTTCACTTCATACAGCATGGTTAGAAAAAGCCTAAGGTTGAAGCCATTTTAACATTATCAGGCAGAACCAAAAATAGTCAATTATAAGATGTGATAAAACATTGTATTTCCAAAGATAAGAGAGTTTTCAGATTCCTTCTTTTATACTTGATCAAAATGCATGCAAGTTTAAATTATTCATAGCTAAGTATAATGCAAGAAACTTTCAGTTTAAATGTCCTTAGTTATCAATTCTAGTGTCTCCTTGTTTAACAACTTCAAACGAGGTTATTATTTTGACATTACTTTATTATGTAAGAAGTTCACGGACAATGTTCAGATTTTGAAAGGAATAACAATTGCATTTAATGTGTAATTATTGTCAAATTATGATTCTAAATATAGAGATGATGTCAGTTTTATGTATAATTTGTACTGCAGAGAAGAAACATGTAGTACATTATGAGGGAGGAGAGATCTAATTCCCGTTGTAATATATTTGTTTCTCTGTTGACTTCTGGGCTTTACATGATATGAGTTTTTAGTGCACTTTTGTATATCACATATTTACAGGGTGTTCTCAGTATATTAAAGGTAGTGAACATATATCAAATAAGAAAAATTCATTTTTGCAGATTGCAGCAGTTGAGGATGAAATGAGGGAACTTCTTCAAGAAACTCAGGCCAATAAAAAAGCAATGGAGGACAGGGTGAAACGACTGACCAGAGCCATGGCTGAGCTCCAGTCAGATCTGATTTAAACTTACCCAGTAATAACCTTGACAGAACTCATGTCTGACCAGAGCTATGGCCGAGCTGTAATCGAATCTATTTAAACTGGATAGCTGGATAGTAGAAAGGTGACATTGGGGTCAAAACTGAGCTCATTTAAGTTTTGTATCCCCGGGGCCACGACTAACATACCTACAACTGGTTACCCATAATGGAGCTCAAATAAAATCGGTTTGTTAATGATGACAAAGCTCCACATATATGCTTATTGATGGGAAAATTCCAGAAGTGGTTTGCCTTATCCATCTGGAGCCACAGGCATATCTGGATCATTGTGGTTTGCTGGTTCACCATGGCTCAATGGTGCTATGGCTTGCTAGCTGATTATGAATAGTTCTAGTCCTATTTTTTTTCTTTAAGTTAATGAAAATATTAAAGTTTTGTCTGGATCATAAGTTAATAACATACAGGTTGTAGAAGTTTACAATTATAAATGATACAAATTTAACTCTAAGGTCAGATGGTGTGTTATAACTTTAAACCAATTTATTGGTCATCCGTTATATTTGACAGTGTAAAATTGCTTTACAATTGATGTATAATTTACTGTTTTTTTCTTCACTTGTTTTAAGTAATCCTGTAAAACCATCCCTTGTTTAATCTGGTTTTGTCAAGATATTGCACCAGTCACATATGATCAATGGCTATTTTTAGAAACAATATGGACTGAACTAGAATACATTGTTACAGCTCCCATAAGACAGCTTTTCTGATATACATGTAATAACAACGTATCTGTTCTACAATATCCCTTTAAATGGCATTAAAAAAGAGATGTAGATTTCAGGGGCTGATGGGCATCATTTTTGTTAATCTGTGAAAAGTTGGGAATATATCAGCTAAATGACTGATTTTCTGTGCATTACTGATATGTTTGATGAACAATAATCCAGGAGTACAATTTCTTTGAGAGGGGGAGCAGTTGGGGGGGGGGGGGGGGGTTTAGAGTAAGATTATGTGATTCCAAGTTTATTTGTAAGTATTACTTATATGAGTTAGGAATTGTGAGTTCTGTGCTTGTCCAAAAACCTTAATCATTTTTATTGAATTCAATAAGTTAAATATCAGTTATGTAGTATTTAGAAGACATGTATTGATATAGATGTCTTTTCCTATTTTATAACATTTCAATAGTGAATTCTTTAAAAAAGTGCATAACTCTATTCTAACTAATGATTGTGTGTGTATAGGTATTTATTAGAGAATGATTGAAGTGTATGTTACTGCATGACACAAAGGGATATAAAATTGTTATACGTAGAAATTTTAATAAAAGAGATATGTGAAGAATGACTCAGCTTTGTTCACCTTGGACTTTGTACCAGAGTAATTCAATCCTGATCAACTACTTGATATGCAGTGGTCCCTGCCTAACATTCTTACAAAATCATCCAAGTCAGCAGATTGTCATTTATGACACTGAATCATAACAGCTCCAAATATTGTAGCTCACTTACTCAAAATATGGAATTTTTAGATTTGTAATATTACAATTTTTAAAGAATTTACATAATGTAATATTGATCAGATAACATAGCTGTAATGCAAACACTAAATAGAGATTTAATCAGGTGATCTATTGCTATAGGTTCTCATCCTTCACTTGGCATCATTCATTAACTTTCCAGCATCTTCTCTAAGTTGCTTAACCAATTTTTAATATGTATATGGGCAAAGGAAAACAAGAATTGTGAATTGAATTCTGTTGTTTTAGCCCCCCCCCCCCCCAAATTCATGCAATTTTCATAGTCTTTTTAACAAGACATCCTCCTTGGGCAAAGAATTTTTTTCCCTAAGGGAGGGAGGATAGGAATACTTTGTCCATCCATCTGTTGCAATCATATCTGGACCACAACTTTTTAATGAAAAAACATTGGAAACTCTATATAACAAATAAATCATCATCCTCACAATGTCAAGGTTTTGTGATTTCGGAACTCCACACAAACCCTTGACATAAGTCGTTATTTAAAAGTTGGGTTTGTGGTTACACATGGCGTAATGGGTAATTATAAACTAACCAATGAGAATATATTTTTCAAATCCGTCGTTTTCAAATGATCCAACTCCACAGCATATCTTTTGTGACTGTTAGGAGGACGATCTTCCAAAAATTAATCCCCGATGTTTCAATTAATGTAAATAGTCACAAATTCTACAATATCGACAATTTCCATTTGAAAGACAAGTCATATATGTTTACAAAACTTACCTACAATAAAAGCTGTTTTCTGATTGGTTCCAGTCCAAGATCAGGAATAAATGAAATGGTAGCTTTCTAGCCCAACTTTTAAATAACGACTTATGTCAAAGGTTTGTGTGGAGTTCCGAAATCACAAAACCTTGACATTGTGAGGATGATAAATCATAATTATCATTATCTTGTGGTTCAAATAAATTATAATTATCATTATCTTGTGGTTCAAAATGGCTTAGTAGATAAAGACACCCAAAATTTGTAATATTGGCAGTGGTAGTTATTTCCAATGGATTATATAGCAAATATAACATCTGGTATCTTGCAGAAATGTTTGGTAAGGTACCTCATTTTTTATGAGGAATTTTATACTTCAATGACAAATTCTTGGAAAAAATAATATATTATCGAGGAACGTGCTGTCTGACCTTAATATAAAGAAAGATTACTTATGACGAGGGTGTGTCAAGACTGACCCAAGGATATTTTGTCAAGGTGACAGTTGCATGAAAAATGTATAATTCTTGTCTATATTTTGTAATAGTGAGCATTTGAAGCTCCTACTTGACACAAAGATTGCATTTGACATGAGAGTGTGTTATGACCTTGACCCAGGTTATTTGGGCAAGTTTAATGTGAGTGACTGAAAAGATGTATAATTCATGTCAGGGCCATGTTTTTGACATGATTATAATGAGCTGCTATCCCTCCACCAAAGTTGTGAAATTCGTCCCCTTGGCCAAAATGCAGGGATGAGTTTGTCATACATTAAAAATTAGGGGTGTAACGATACAGCTAAAATGTATCATGATGCTATCATGTATGGGACTGTATCATGACACTTATCACGATATTTCACCCTTCATATTTTTAACATAATTTCTGTGTCTCTGTTCTGAAATGAATAAACATCTATTACACATTCAATGGAAAGTTGTGAATTATTTTATCAAATTAACGTATATATTATACAATGTTTAATAAACTCTTAACACACACAAAAAAAAACAGCATAAGTAAATAAAGAAAAGCACTTATATTTGGTTAAACTGAAAAAAAATAACATAAATTGTTTGAAATATATGGTGTTGTCACGCGATACGTACAAGTTTTAGTGTATTGCAATATTATACTTTTATTGACTGGGTTCGAGGGCAACATGCATTTTGTCGGACCCAAGAACCAAACTGTTTGCCTGAGGCCGTTAGGCCGAAGGCAAACAGTTTGGTTCGAGGGGTCGACAAAACGCATTTTGCCCAAGAACACAGTCAATAAATGTTTTGTTTTACCTTTTATTTATATATTTTATCCCTTTTTTTTGACGTACATGTATGTCGAAGGCCAACGAATGCAAATGAGATTTAGCTGACCCCGCCCATTATGTGATGTAAATGGTCCAACATCTCATCGACAGGTCCAATATCTCACTCCGCGGTCAAATTTGATTTTTTTATGCCCACTCAGGAAGACATTGAAAATGTAAGACTTTTATTAGTATTGATGTTTTATTAGGCTGCGCCTTAGTTTCATTCATTAAAAAGATTTAATGAGCAATTACCAGTAAATTTTCACTCTAAATATTTAAACAAATTGTGAACACCTCTTCGATCTATCAAATACTAGTATTAGTGACTTGACACCTTCTCTGAAAATGCTGCGGGGGTATTTGTCCCTTTTGGACAGTTCTAGTTGTACATCTGATGTTCCTTTGAAAACCTTACATGTATTTTAACAGAAAGATCCTGTCACACAAATTACGTTGAATAACTACACTATACCGACGTATGAACATTTTATCAAACACGCTGTTATAATCTGAAAATCTAAAGGAAATTGTTTTAACGACATATTAGCAGAGTTTAGGAAATTCCACCCTCTTGTGATGTCATAGGTTTAAGCAAAAACCGTTATTAATTTAAATTCATACCCAATAGAAAAATATCTTTCAAAAGAATGTTTTTCAATGGGTGTAATAAAAAATATTGTAAAGTAAAAAAGTTTTTAAAAAATGAATATTTATTTAATCAATTATTTAATCCTTAAAAAAAGGTTGCTAAGGGCAGTAACTCCTGCTGATGTATCCTCATTCAGGCATTTTCTATATTGTACTTTTAATGTAAAATGGTTTCCCTGATAACTACAATTCAAACATATTAATAAAATAACAATTATTTTGGAACTTTCAGCATCAAAATTATGTATTTGAACCAGTTTTTACATAAGTTTTGTAATATTGTTTACTAATATGTACAATTTTTTAATGCTGACATATACTTCTTGTTAATGTATGTCTTACGTCTGAAAAAATATGGCAAACTGTACATTTTTGGTGATTATTAATTAATTTAAACTATATTCAGTGAAAATAAATGCAGTTTTTAGCTCACCTGAGCTGAAAGCTCAAGTGAGCTTTTCTGATCACCCGTTGTCCGTCGTCCGTCCGTCTGTCTGTCCGTCCGTCTGTAAACTTTTCACATTTTCAACTTCTTCTCAAGAACCACTGGGCCAATTTTAACCAAACTTGGTACAAAGTACCCTTGGGTGAAGGGGAGTTTAATTTGTTAAAATAAAGGGCCAAGTCCCCTTACAAGGGAAGATAGTCAAGAGAAGACAAAAATAGGATGGGGTCATTAAAAAATCTTCTTCTCAAGAATCACTGGGCCAGAAAAGCTGAAACTTATGTAGAAGCATCCTGGGATAGTGTAGATTCTAAATTGTTCAAATCATGACCCCCGGGGGTAGGGCGGGCCACAATAGGGAATCCAAGTTTTACATTGAAATATATAGGAAAAATCTTTAAAAATCTTCTTCTCAAGAACCACTGAGCCAGAAAAGCTGAAACACTTATGTGGAAGCATATTGGGATAGTGTAGATTCTAAATTGTTCAAATCATGACCCCCAGGGGTAGGGCGGGGCCACAATAGGGAATCCAAGTTTTACATTGAAATATATAGGAAGAATCTTTAAAAATCTTCTTCTCAAGAACCACTGAGCCAGAAAAGCTGAAACTTATGTGGAAGCATCCTGGTGTAGTGTAGATTGTAAATTGTTCAAATCATGACCCGGGGGTAGGGCGGGGCCACAATAGGGAAACATTGAAATATATAGGAAAAATCTTTAAAAACTTCTCAAGAACCACTGGACCAGAAAAATTGAAACTTATGTGGAAGCATCCTGGAGTAGTGTAGATTCTAAATTGTTCAAATCATGGCCCCCGGGGGTAGGGCGGGGCCACAATAGGTATTACAAGAGGGGAAGTCTGGTAATGAATGGCCAAAGTTACTCAGGTGAGCGATGTGGCCCATGGGCCTCTTGTCTATTTTGAACCCATAAATTCGTAAGGGTGGAAATACCTTTAGCTAACATACACAACGAATACATAATATATTGTTATACCTTTAAAATCTGTTTCCTATAGAAATCTACACTAAATAAGTCTAACATTTCCAATGTTTTACTGAGCGGTTGAAAGTAATAATTGTTATACCTTTAAAAAATTGTTCCTATATAGATCAATAGTAACAAAAGTCTAACATTTCCAATGTTTTACTGAGCGGGCATAAAAAAATCGATGTTCGACCGCGGAGTGAGATATTGGACCTGTCGATGAGATGTTGGACCGCTTACGTCACATAATGGGCGGGGTCAGCTAAATCTCATTTGCATTCGTTGGTGTTCGACATCCATGTATGTCAAAATAAATAAATAAATAAATAAAAGGCATAACAAAACATTTATTGACTGTGTTCTCGGGCCTAACGGCCTCAGGCAAACAGTTTGGTTCTTGGGTCCGACAAAACGCATGTTGCCCTCGAACCCAGTCAATAAATGTATATTATTATACTTCTGTTAAAATGTTTCCTACATAAAGTTAAGAAGGTAAAATAACTATCTTTTATAGTCTGAAAATGTCCACGCATAGCAAAGCTATACCCCGGGGTATAGTTTGTGCTATCCACCCCTCAGAAAATGTCCATGCACTTTTTGCCGCCAATTTTGATTTCCTGTAGTCAATCTATAGACTGATAATGTCATTATGACTTCAGTAGCATTGTGACGTCATCAGGATTTCAGGCTCATTCTTGTAGTGTTATAATCTTACTCCAAATGCTTGCTCAAAACTTTTATAACTATTCTTTTGAAGTTTTCATGTTTCGCCTATGAAACGTAGCATCAGGTAATTCAACCCTCAGAAATTGTGATATACATCAGTATAATAAAACGCTTATCCACTGGTGGTGCGTGGGATAGCTCTCTCCTCAAATCCTTGACAGGAACTATTCCCCTCGGGAAAGCCCTCGGGGAATAAGTTCCTGTCGCGGGTTTGATAAAAGAGCTATCCCACTCACCACCAGTGGATAAGTGTATACTATTACCCGCTGAATGATGAAGCAACGCCCTCCAGCGTAGCAACAGGCAACATTGCTTGACGACGGGTGATATTCCAAAATATAGTGACTGTGCAGAATTTATGCGCGCAAGGTTCACTGTTATATGTATTTGTATAAAACATTCAGTATAATATAATAAATATTGCATGTAGTTAAGTGTAACATTAGAAATTTTCACCCCTCGAAAACCATTGTCAACCTCGGCTGCGCCTCGGTTGACAATGGTTTTCTTGGGGTGAAAATTTTCAATGTTACACTCAACTACATGCAATATTTATATAAGATACTTCGAAGGGTAATACGGGGTAACTTCCCAAAAAATTGACAAGCCCCCCCCCCCCTTTAAAGGCGTAAACTGCCCAAAATCTCAAATCCTATTTCGTGGGTGATATCTTTCTTCAACTTTTCGGTATTTCTTTTTAATGCGGGAATTTGTCAGAGTTCCACGTAACAGCAACAAAACAGGGGGTGGGTTGGCATGCACCGTCTAAATGAAAATTTACAAATTAAAACAACAGCATTTTTAAAAAGACTATTCTAGTTTGGATTTCTGTCTGATTCTCCCATTGAGCGTTGTAGACTATGAGTCTACTGTTCAAATCAATTTTGAATGATGAAAGATATATTTAAGTGCGGCCTTTTTAAAAATGCCTTCAGGATGTAATGGAATGATAATAATTTCCTGTATGGCTTATTTTTTATTGTTCATATGAATCCTTTATCAAATATTTCTTGGTGGTAAATTCTCTACCAACGAATACACGAGCGGTGTTGAGCGGGATTGCACCCCCTTAAATAAAACTCTCGTATAATAAAGAAAGAGAAGGGAGGGGGGTGAATCGTCCAAATTTTTAAATTATCACCAGTCAAAACCAAAAAAAGAAGTTTTTTTGAGAAACATGATAATATTGATTTTAGTTAGATTCTCTTACTAGACTTACGCAAGATTTAAGCATGGAGAACTTTATTGATTGAATTATGGATCGTATCCTCTTTGAAGGCTAAACCGGTTTATACACAACGCATAACTTGTTTTGACATATTTAACTACTTATACGCTTTAGAATAAGTAATAATTAATGTACATGCTTAAATTTGCAAGTTTTTAGGCTATTGTGCTTTCATGTGTTGTTTCTCTATTGTACTTTGCCCTAGAGATTAATCTAGAAATGCTATAATTATTGAGTTGTTTACTAGTCGGCCCATAAGCAACGTGGTTAGTGTTATTTGGCGTTGTCCCTATCATCCAATCAAATTGCGTTGTTCTCACACACCCACAGGGTAACCTTGACATTTGTTTTTGTTGACGAAAGATTGCATCACGTTCTCAGCTGAGAAATATGTGGTAAACAATTGAAAAAAAAAACACAAATGGGGTTTATTTTTCATCCCAGCATAAAAAACACTGCGCCATAATTAAAAGCCCAGATATAGGACAAGTATATATTTAGCTTATAGCCTGTCGAGTTCAATATATTTCAATTTATAAAAGTTTTACACGACTAATTGCTTGCTTAAACTTTAAATTTTGCGAAGTTATAAGTATCCCCAGAATTTTACTACATTGTTCGAAATATGAATAGTTTGACATTAATTACTGCTGCAATAAAAAATGAAAATGACAATTCAACTGACAGAGCCAAAAAGGAAGCTTTCCATTTTTGAATTTAATTAAATTTCTATCTAAAAAAAAACGCATAGTAATGTTGATTTTTCTTATATACTGTCAATTATTGTCTAACGTGAATGTACTGAATAGCACACTGACTCATCTATATAGCTCGTGTTTTTTCCTTTCCCAGCTGAATTTCCTGGTTGACGAACGCTGACCACGTAAATCTATACTAACGTGTGTACGGATCTGATCTCATTGAAATCTAAGATTTATTATATAATGTTCACCGATTATATGTGTATTTTTCAATTAATTAATATGTCTGTAATTTGGTTTCATTATGATTGCTTGGTGCAACAGTGTATTTTTCGGTCTTGCAGAAAAAGAAAATCAATTTATTTTTCATGGCCGCTGCAAGTAGCCTATGATGTATGTATGCCACGTATGAAAGAGGAATAAAATGAACCCAAAATATAATTTTTTTTCCACAATACACTAGTTCTCATGAAAAATGCCCTTTTATAAATATTTCAACAATTCTGTTTCCATTATGATGCATTCATATACTATAATCTCAAGGCAAGTCTACATTTGCTACAGAAAATGTATACATATTCAGTTCAGTTGGCGCACCTAGTATGAGAAAGGCTTTGGAAATCATCCGTTCAGTAGTTCTGTATACATGTGCTCACATTTTTATTGCAATTCAGCCTCCTGGTTGAACTTAGGTAGAATCTATTCTGATTGTATTTCATAACGCACACTTAAATTGTTTCACAATATATATAATAAAGCATTTTAAAGGGGATTAATAAATTAATTGTAATTAAATAAGATTTACATAAGTTTTTTTTTTTTTAATGATAAGATTTGTTTGACCAGTGGCGTGATTGAACATATCATAGAAGTTCCAAAAATTATGAAATTATATTCAGTTGTGAAAAATCGGCTTTTTGATACCTCTCCAGATTAATTTCATGCATCAGTGCCTCTGATATACAGTGCCTTTCATGACTTTAGGTCAATCACCCCTGTTCCAGACTGAAATCAGTATTACCCAGTATTACGCAGCTTGATCTTGCCATATACTAGACACTTCGAACGTCAATGCGCATGACGAATTTGCGCCTTAGCTAGTATAAATATACCCACGTTTCGTCATCTTTTTTCATACTACAGCTGAGAGTTGATGAGAGGTTCCAACAAATGTATTTGTGTGCTTACTGTTTAAATACATACACAACGTCTTGTATCAGTGAAGATGGGGTCGTTAGATATCAAAACCAAAAGATTGTCAGTAGAGGGAAAACTGAAGGAGTTAGATGGGTGAGTTTATTTTTTTTGTTTAATTCTATATTGTCAGAAGTTTTACTAGTATTTGGTTTTGTGATAATTTTGAAACACTTAAAAATTGTGTATAGGTGAAAATATTCAGAATATTCAGTAAACCATCCTGCGATTCTCGTTTTTCTGAAAAATTGGGTAACTTTTTTTGGTGAGGTAGAAATGTCACCAAACATTTGAGCAAGGGTTTTACCACTATTTTGAATGAAAGTTTTTGTCTTGTTGCTGGAAAATTGTGGGAAAGGAATGTATGAAAATGTGTGTATTTCTTTCCCATCCGTTATAGTTCCAGAAAAAGGATAAAATCGATATTTTTGAATAGAGTATGTGTTTGTTCCTGATGCCACGAAGGCGTTGTCCGTATTAGCCAATCAGAATGCAGCATTAGGAAACGCCTTCAAGCATGGTGTGACTGTATATAAGAAAGTAGTCCCTCTATAAAGTCTTCGGGTGTTCAACAAAAGGGACATAGTTGGTTAATCATACCCACAGGGAAAGATTAATTATTGCCACTTGCAAGAAATATATTGTACAGTGTGAATAATTCTCAACCATACTTGATATTCATACGCAAGGTCAATATTTCAAAGTGCTCACGGGGTCAGCTTTGTCAATTGCGCCGGATTAGTTGTGTGATGGACTTTATTTGACAGGGATTAAGAAGAGTTTAAAACAATGTATACTTTAACAAAGTTAGTGAGGCAGTGTGGCCATTTAAAGTAAGTACTTTAATCATCTCACTATTTGAAACCCTGCACTTTCGATTCTATTTAAAAAAAAAAGTCTTGGAAGACCGTGTTATAGAGAAAGACCGTGTTATAGAGACAAAAGTCCATACTGCATCTGTAATAAAAGACGTAGTTTTTCAATATTTTGTACGAGAATGTGTAGACAGGATAGAAATATCACGAAAGGCTTAGATTACAGGGCGTGACGCTCAATATATGATCCGCTTCTCCGCTTCCCACGTGAAGCGAACAGCTGATCGCCGGATGTACGGCATCGATAAAGGGCCGTCAAGCCATTGTATTTAAAATAATGAACGATCGTGAGAAACAGGAGAATTTTTTCTTCTTCTCCAAAATATGTAATAGAAAAAGTCATGGTTAATATTATGTCAATTCAACCTAAATAATAATAAGAATATATGGTGGACAAACAAGGCTTTGTGATAAGGCGTATTGCAGAGTTGATAAGACAGTCTGATCTTGAGGAGTCAGTAGGACTTAATCGAAAAGATAACTCGGCGACAAACTGTAGACAAGGTCATTGACACACTCCGTCCTAATATTGGGATATGGGATAATAATAGCAGTTTATGATCCTGTTATGGATGTTTTGAAGTCAATGGGCAGACACAAATCAATGTGTTTATTTTTGTCAAGCAGATTGGTAAATGTCTCTCTAATTTACATTTTGCAGGCCAAACTTTTCCAGTCGGATTTCACAGGAGATCATAGGTAACAATGCCTTCAACCGGCCCTATCAGAGCATTGCATCACAGGTTCTGTACGGACGATTGAATGACCTACCAAAGAAAGTCCGGCATTATGTTGAGGACAATGTTAAATTGTGCAAGCCAGATACAATCCACATCTGCGATGGCTCGGATCGCGAGAATGAATTGTTGTTGTACCTTTTGCAGAGGGATGGCATGATTAAACCTCTGCCAAAGATGGACAACTGGTGAGAATTCAAAATAAAACAAATGGTAATTCTAGCTCTTTGTAATTTACATTTTAAGGATCAGGTCGGAAAGTAAGAATTTATGATTTTAAGAATAATAAAAAAAATTCAAAAGTTCAAATATAATTTTTTTACTTGTTTGAAAATAATTACTTAATCAAGAAGCAGGACATTGATTTTAAGGTGGAAATAATCTGATTTTTTTTTCAATATGTTTTCAGTTGGTTAGCCAGAACAGATCCCAAAGATGTAGCTAGGGTAGAGAGTCGGACCTTCATTGCCACAGAGGAAATGAGGGATACAATTCCAGTCGTAAAAAATGGAGTAACAGGAACACTGGGAAACTGGATGTCCCCTGACGATATGGACACGGAACTCAACATGAGGTTCCCTGGTTGTATGAAGGGCAGAACCATGTACGTGATACCATTCAGTATGGGGCCGGTTGGCTCAGCTCTTTCTAAGATTGGCATCGAGCTCACAGACTCTGCATATGTAGCAGCTAGCATGAGAATAATGACCAGGGTTGGGACCAAAGTGCTGAAAACTTTGGGAAATGGAGACTTTGTTAAGTGTCTGCATTCTGTTGGAGCACCACTACCTCTTAAAGGTTTGTTAATTTCATATGTTTCATGGAGACTTACCTTGAACTTTCAGTCACACAAAAAGGAAGAGTGCTTGTAATAATGTGTATTACCTTTCAGAACCATTGATTAGCAACTGGCCTTGCAACCCCAAGGACACCATTATTGCACACTTGCCAGAGAGAAATGAAATCTGCTCGTATGGAAGTGGTTATGGTGGAAACTCACTCCTGGGAAAGAAATGCTTTGCCCTCAGGATCGGATCAATTCTGGGGAGAAGAGAGGGTTGGTTAGCAGAACACATGCTGGTATGTTCAGTTCAGAATTTTATCAAGCACCAAATTGAATTTTTTTTAACTGTTAAGCATCAAATTGAACTTTTTTTATTTTCTTTGATTGAAATACAAACTTTTTAAACTGAATGTTTTTTTTTTCATTGTAGATCTTGGGCATTGAAAATTCCAAAGGCATTAAGAAATACTTTGTAGCTGCCTTTCCAAGTGCCTGTGGGAAAACGAATTTGGCAATGATGAAATCTGCTCTTCCCGAGTACAAGATCACCTGTGTAGGAGACGATATTGCGTGGATGAGATTCGATAAAGATGGAAAACTCAGGGCTATTAATCCAGAAGCTGGGTTCTTTGGCGTAGCACCAGGTGAGCTAAAAATGCTCATTGCTCACTGTGTGAAATTTTATTAAATTGATGAGGTTATAACCATTTTGACATTGTTATTGTTACATTTTAGGTACATCAATGAAAACGAATCCCATGGCTATGGAAACTATTTCTAGAAACACCGTCTTTACCAATGTGGCGGAGACGTCTGATGGTGGTGTCTTCTGGGAAGGTTTGGAGGGAGAAATCCCAAGAACCACAAAAATCAAGTCTTGGTTGGGAGTGGAAGACTGGCACCCAGAACAGGGAAAACAGGCAGCTCACCCCAATTCAAGGTAAAGACCTCTAATCATGTCATAAATCAATCGTGATTTTGTTTAGTAAGGAGAAATCCTTTAATGACTTGTAACATGTGGGCTTTGTTAAATTATAGACTTTAAGCTGACACATTATTTTGTGTCTCTGGTGATTGATTTTCATGTTCTGTTGTTTACAGATTTTGTACTCCAGCTGCTCAGTGTCCTATCATGGACGAGAAATGGCAGGACCCAGAAGGTGTCCCTATTGAGGCCATTATCTTTGGGGGACGTAGACCTGAAGGTAAATTTTAACACTGTTTAAAAAATGGATTATATTCACTGATGAGTTTTAGTCAGGAGTTATCTCTCTTGCATTATGGTTAATATTCTGTTGTGTGTTGTAGGTATTCCTCTGGTCTATGAAGCCTTTAACTGGCAGCATGGAGTATATATGGGGGCCTCTATGAGGTCTGAAGCAACAGCAGCAGCAGAGCATAAAGGTATTATTTAAACAACGCAATTCCTCAGTAAAAAGATTTTTGTCTTCTTTTTTTTTTCCATGAATGACTACTTTTAGGAGTAACTAATCATCGATTTACTATTTGCAGGGAAAGTGATCATGCATGACCCTTTTGCAATGCGTCCATTCTTTGGCTACAACTTTGGGCATTACTTGAAACATTGGTTAAGTTTCCAAGAAAAAGAAAGTAATAAATTGCCAAAAATTTACCATGTCAACTGGTTCAGGAAGGATAAAAATGGTCGTTTCATGTGGCCTGGATTTGGAGAGAATGCCCGTGTCTTAGACTGGATCTTCAGGCGGGTGGATGGCGAGGAATGCGCTGTCCCTTCCGCTATTGGAAATCTTCCCAAGAAAGGATCTCTGAATCTGGAGGGACTCCAGGACAATGTTGACATGGACGCTTTGTTCAGTATTCCAAAAGACTATTGGCAGCAGGAAGTCAGGGACATTGGGAAATACTTTGACGAGCAAGTGCACGAGGATTTACCTCCTGAGATAATGAAAGAACTGAGAGGACTAGAGGCCCGTGTGAATGCCTTGTAACTTACAGTCACTTCCGTTACACTTAAAAGTAGACTGTTCAGCTACAGGGAGAATAATTTGCTGCCATATTTTTCAATGATTTACATTTATTTACTTACTATGTAAGGAGATTAAGATTTTTAAGTTCATTTTTAGAAAATTTAGCCATTTTTTTACAGGTATTTCAGAGGGAGTTTTTCATTGTTATGATTCATATGATCTCTGTAACCTTTGTCAATCGTGTATTATTTTACTAATGAAATGTGTAATTTATTTTGTATTATCTTAATGAAATATGTGATTTATTAATGACTCTTTTTATTCATGCTTAACAGAAGAGAAAGTGCAATGGACATTATCATTCTTGAATTTTTTTGTATAATAAGCATTTCTTCATGTCGAGCTGATATGATCTCACTCTCTGTTTCCTGTTTTTGTACACTGCTGTTATTATGTTGCATGTAAGATGGCAGTTGTAGTCTTATATTTGCTGGGTTTAAACAAAACGAATCACATGCTTCTATCATCCTCTCTGTATACTGAATCATATTCATTCATGGGACATTCACACAAAGATTGTAAAACCATTTAGTGGCATATTGGTATGCACAAAAAAATATGACTGTGATAAATTGCCATTTATTTGATTATGTATATGTTAGACTAGAAATTCACAAGATGTGATGGGAAGTTATATTGTTCACTGCCGGTGGCATACTGTTATTATGTGTAAATTCTTGTCAAACAGCTGATTAAAACATGTTTTAGCAATATTTTAGGGCAGAATTGCCCAAGAGAGGGAACTACAATTTAAAGAAATACAATTTTATTTAAAAAGAATATGACCTTATTTTGTTTTTTTTTTCTGGGAATCGAGAGGCAGAATTGTTGGAGGAACTGAGTAGTAGGTGAACAAATGAATGGTACCGATAGAAACTGCCAAAAGATAAAATTGGTGTTTTTTCCCAAATAGATGTAAAATACTGTCTGAGTAGTCAAAATACATGGTTGGTAAATTTACACGTAGATGGGTTCATTAAAATCTGCTTAAGCGATCACAAGAACCTAATAACTGAAATCAAAATAATGCAATTTGTAAGAGAAATTTATCCTATTCTACTCTTTCGTCTGAATTTATACACTGTCTACTTTGATTTATAATAATAAAATACTTTATAATTTATAGAAGGTAACTCGATTAGTGCAAGCATTAGTCTTCCTCAGGGCCTTCTTTATAACACATATACAATGTATATATACAATAAACACAAATCACAATTGGAGACAATAAAATATAAACATTATAATACAACACAATAAATAAAACATCAAAAATCATTAAAAGGAGGAAAGGAAGGGGGGGGGGGAACATATTTTAATGTAGAGCCAGTTTCGCAAGTAAAAAATTTTCAACACTACTTTTAAATATTGCTCTAGGGATTGGGAATTCCTGATACTAATACGTGAAATATCGTTACCATGAAAATGCATTGTAGTGCTTTCAGCAAACATGTCAATATTACAATGTTCAACAGATAATGGGAAATCATTGACAATAAAGGGCCTAAAATAGAGCCCTGTGGCACACCTGCTATGACTGGCAGTAATTCAGATGTGTATGCACCAATTTTTACACTTTGAGTTCGATCATATAAATATGATTGAAACCATTTAATTGATACTGGATCAAAGTGATAGCATTTATGTTTTCTAATTAGTATATCATGATTTACGAGATTTGTACGATGAGAGATAATAACATCGGGGTTCTCTGATTTCTCTAAGTTCTAAACTTAACTTTTAGCCCTTTGTGACTAATGTGTACGACCTTGTTTTTTTTTTTTTAATATTTTTTTTGAGAAGGAAAAAGAAAGTCATCATGGGAGAATAATTTTCGGTAGACAAATAAAAACAAATATACAACAATTGTACACTTGGTAGTAAAGGAGAAATATATTTTTGCTGGCATCACAAAACGATTCAGATAAAAATAATATAGGGCTAAGCAACACGAGTTTCGATGCATAAATAAAACTTTTACTCGAATTTTTTTTCTTTAGTTCGACCTCGTTATCAATCAGAAAATCGCCACTACCAACCGCAGTACAGACCCCTGGCCTGGTCATTCCTTTAATTGTCCCGTTGTGTATCGTGAATGATTCACTAATTTTACCCTCGTAAGATTTCTTGCGTTAATTCGCAAGTTTTGAGATATCATGAAATTTGACTTTGTTTTTCCTAACAATATTGATCGCAATATGGTTTTGCAATACAGTTACATTCGATTTGTCGAGTCGAAAGTATGAGTGAATGTATTTTATATAGAATGTACTGGTATTTTATTTTATTTTATTTTATTATTATTATTTTTCTTTATTTTTTTTTTTTTTTTGGTCAACGCGAGGTTGTTAACCTTTTAACATAACAAAATATGCTTCTTACTCGTCATCGATGCATCAATTTAAGATTTTATCTCTTTAGGGGACGACCATTAAAATCTGAAGGGGGGGGGGGATTCTGGCTGATTTTGGAAATAAGTAATTTGTCCTCGAAAATGTTGAAAATAAATAAGTGCTACCTTCCCCCACCCACCCCACGAAATAGAGTTTTAAAGAGGGGGCATTTTTCCGTGAATAAGAAAATTAATCTATATTGTTTGAGCTATTTTGTTACAAATCTGCCCACGATCATCTTGAAAATAAAAAAAAAATTGCGAGCCCCCTCCCCTTAGAATCAAATGATCGCCCCCTTAAATTATTCCAGTGTTTCGTAATTACACGAAGAGCAAAATATAAAAGAAAGGTGGGAAAGTAATACTGAAGTGTTCTTTTTTTTTGTTTGTTTGTTTGTTTGTTTTTTTTGTTTTTTTTTTGTTTTTTTGTTTGTTTGTTTTTTTTGTTGTTGAAAATTTCGTCTTGTAATTTCATTTTTTTTTTCTTTTCTTTTTTTCTGAGCGTGTCTTGGTAAATTCTAAATGCATTCGAAATTAAAGTCCCTTATTGTTCGAAGAAAAGCCTTTTTTCTATTCTATCTGTGCACTCGTTAAAGAAATTTATAAGTTACAGGACAATTGCAGTACGAAGTTTTTGTAGCAGTCCACTCGTGAAACTAATGACTACTTGTAACGCGTCGAACCCCTCAACACTCTTGCGAAAAGTTTCTACAGAGTGCATATTGACAGAAACATATTGTAAAAAATTACTCTAGATCATTATTAATACATTGTCTGTCTGTCTGTCTGTCTGGGAGGAGTATCAAAACTGTCAAATCTTATTTTGAACTAATTTTACGCTTTACCAATTATTTTTCTTATCATTATTTAATTGTTCTAAGATAACGGATTGAATGTGAATTAGAAAAATGCACCCATGAAAAATAATCATGGTACTCACACATTTGAATCGGAGTTTGAAATAAATTAGCGTGTTTTATAGACTGCTTTAGGTCTATGCTAAATGTAGATCTGTAGATAATGACATTTGCTAAGTGTACCAACTGAACTGAGCAAAAAAGATCACTGATTTTGTATGGGTATTGATCAATTTAACAGTTTAATTAGGGATGTCCGTGACATGGTTAATATATATTTTTTAATTATACGTGCATTTTCGCACATGAAAATTATATTTATCCGATTTGTCCTCGGCATGCTTTGTTCCTTCAAGTTCATAAAAATATTCTACGTAGTAAGCTGAATTCCACTGTAAATTATCTTCCGATAATGTTCCAAAGAACATCACAGTGAGAAAATAGCTCTTTATTTTAACCTTGTTTGTCCTATCTTCTTGTTTACCACTTCGGTGTTTATCGTAAAACCTCGCCTTCCAGTACATTCTATATGAAAAATCCAGAGGAAAGCTGTCATTGATCAAAACATTTTTCAACCGACCGGCGTCAGTTTAAGCTGCTCCATCGTAATTCTGCTGTATAGGTAGGTGTCACTGTCATTTATTTCCGATTTCAAAAGAAAAGAGGTAATGTAATACACTGTCATTATATCTAAATAATCATAAATATTGTAATTGCGAACTGTGGAAAAATATACAGGAAAGTAATGACCCAGTTTCCGCCGGAGAAATATGATAAAGCTGTGTCTGCAAATTTTTATGTCGATTTGCATAATTCTCTTGCATTATATCTAGCAGTTTTAATTATTGCATAATGAAAAAATTAGGCGTAGATTTCTAAAATGGAGATTATGGCGATCCAGCAAGGAAGATCATCGTGACCTTAAATGACCCGCCTCTCACTGGGTGATTTATCTGGACTACAATATTGGGGGTAGTTCAAGGCCAGGACACTGCGTGTAGACCAGCTGTAGGCTGTCTATCTTCACTTGTATATGACACAAACGTATAATTTAGGTGTAATTGAAAGAAACACTAGGGGAAATGCGTCATATCAATATTTTATATTACTATATGACAAAGAATTACTCGATTAATATATATATAGTATATGTTGTAGGGCATTACAGTACTGATAGCAGAGATGTACCTAAGAATTGAAATAGCAGGGGAATTAACAAAGTAGAAGGGGGTCTGAGGTTCCTATCCCTAACATGCCTAAGAGGGGTTTGAGGGGAATACCAGAATAACCACTGTGAGCGAAAATCAAAAATAATTTCATATTTAACAGTATGGCTTTAATGTCTGTTAGCTGTTGCAATGGCCCTTCCATTAATTGTAACTTACCTGAAGAATAATACAGGGATTTTGAAATATACTAGTAAATCATGTTTGCAAACAAGGTAGGGAGTTAAAATATGTAAATATAAGCACTGATCTCTTAACTGCATTGGTGTGCACGAATTGAGTTAACGCATATTAGCGAGTTATTGTAATGGTGTGTGCAAAAACAGTAACGCGCATTAGAGAGTTATGAATTCGTTTTGCACACAGGTGAATTCACTGAGGATTTCTTGTCATTTATTTTGCAAAATTAGGCTAAATAATAGTTGTCCCTAAGACCAAGGGGCCGGGGAATTTCCCTGCCTATAATGGCATAATGCAGTGACATTGCACTTGCACAGCATTCAATGTTTGTGATCTAAAAAGTTGTAACTTTTTGACCTCATCATCCGTGTTAAGGTGATTTGAATGCCAAAGCTTTCCACAAACTTGTAAGCAAAATATTTGTGGAATGTAAATTCATGTATAGAGTATCTGAGTGTATTGTATAAATTTTAATGCTAATTGAAATATAACTGCTGCTGTATCATTGATGAAAGTCAAACCACTGTGAAATATGTTTTACTTATCTTTATTGTATTGCACAGGTGCGGATCCAGGAACTTTTTCCAGGGGGGTCCACCCCAGTCAAAAAAAAAAATTCCAACCCAAAAATTTCTTGACAAGCCAAAAAAAAAAACCCCATCCCCCTCTAGATCCGCCCATGTTGCATGTGAAGTTTTCTTTCCCTCCACACAAAAACATTTTTAATTCAGTTTTTCTACATGTACCTGATACAGCAACCATCTATTGATCGTATACTTGTAAATGATTTTAATTCTGTTTGTTTCAAAAATATTTTTTTAAACATGGTAAGGTTAAGGTAGTGTTTTTAGACCTACACAGCTAGTTGTGACTTAAAAATGATTACTGTGTTTATTTTCCTGTTGGGGATTTATACAAAAAAGGAATTGTTTATAAAGGGAAGTATTTTTCTTATCCATGTACAAATAGTATAAAAAGGAGACATTTGATATAGGAAGAATAAAAAGGGAAACGTGTTGATATCAGGGAATTCCTGTTGACTGTGATTACAGTTGGTTCTCTCTGAAATCCCGGCAGCGAGAAAAACAATTGACATTTCTGTGGTTACAACTTTGTAGATTGCAATTCTGAGCTATTGAATGACTGCATACCATAAAGAATATAAGTACTTTTTGACGTGCAGTAGGTATTTGCTCAGTATTACCAGGACTCTATAACCCATTTTTCCCGAGACATTCCGTCAGATTTATGTTGGTTAGAACAGGTAATCCTGAAAAGACATGGAAAGCCTCTAAATCTTGTCTGTAGCTGTGAGATACATTATGTAACCTTTATTTTTAACCAGGAAATCAATAGCGAAGGTTTGAGTAAGATAGAAAATGTTGTATATCAGAGAGATTTATTAATTAACAGGTTGATTAATTCCCACTGGTTTGACAATGGAGGATGACGCACCAGAATTCATTGAGGTCCATGAAATAGTAATCCAGAAGCTTGGCCATGTCCCCATTGTCAAGGGGGACTTCCACATGCTCCCCAAAAAAGTTCAGAAGTTTATAGCGAAATGGGTGAGTATTAACAGAATCATTCCTTCATCCTTTAATATCACAATCATTAGATAAAGAAGTCTCATGTTGAGAAATGCAAGCTGTTTAATTATCACTCCTTCTTTTGTAACCATGGTAACATTCAGTGACAGCTACAAACCAATTAATTAATGGTGCTTCTTTTGTACTTGATGAGATGTTTTGTCTGCTTCACTTAGTGTGATGTTCAACAGTGATCTTAAAATCCTTCCATGTTGTAATAAAAAAATCTGCCAATACAAACCAATTATTGAATAGGTGAAACATAGCACTGTTTTGTTTTTATAAATGTAAGCCTTGAGCGTTGTATTTATTATGCGAGTTTATAAATGTAAGCCATGAGCACTGGATATTGTTTTGTTTCTGTAAACTATGAGTGCTGTATATTGTTTCTCTGCTGTAGGATTATAAATGCACATGTAAACCCCGAGCATTGTATATTGTTTCTCTGCTGTAGGCGTATTAATGTAAACCCCAAGCTCTGTATATTATTTTGTTTCTGTACGTTTATAAATGTAAACTACGAGCACTGTATATTGTTTCTCTGTTGTAGGTGTATAAATGTAAACCCCGAGCGCTGTATATTGTTTCTCTTCTGTAGGTGTATAAATGCAAACCCCGAGCGTTGTATATTGGTGTATAAATGTAAGCCCCGAGCGCTGTATGTTGTTTCTCTTCTGTAGGTATATAAATGTAAACCCCGAGCACTGTATATTGTTTCTCTTCTGTAGGTATATAAATGTAAACCCCGAGCGCTGTATATTGGTGTCTAAATGTAAGCCCCGAGCACTGTATATTGTTTCTCTGTTGTAGGTGTATAAATGTAAACTATGAGCACTGTATATTGTTTCTCTGCTGTAGGCGTATTAATGTAAACCCCAAGCTCTGTATATTATTTTGTTTCTGTACGTTTATAAATGTAAACTACGAGCACTGTATATTGTTTCTCTGTTGTAGGTATCTTAATGTAAACCCCGAGCGCTGTATATTGTTTCTCTGTTGTAGGTGTATAAATGTAAACCCCGAGCACTGTATATTGGTGTATAAATGTAAACCTTGAGCGCTGTATATTGTTTCTCTTCTGTAGGTGTATAAATGTAAACCCTGAGAGCTGTAGATTGTTTATCTGCTGTAGATTTATAAATGTAAACTACGAGCGCTAAATATTGTTTCTCTGTTGTAGGTGTATAAATGTAAACCCCGAGCGCTGTATATCTGTGACGGGTCCCATGCAGAAGCTGAGGAGATCACACACAAACTGATAGAGAGGGGAGTCCTCACACCGCTCCCCAAATACGAAAACTGGTAAACTACAGTCGAGCTTTGGTATCTTAAACGTGATTATCTCAAATACCATTGATATGACAAAGTCATTTTGAAGTTCCAGCTGCTTATTCCTTAAGTATTTTACCCTGGATATCTCGAATCCTTGGTTATCTCGAAGTATTTTCTAGGTCCTTCGAGTTTGAGATAACGAGGTTTGACTGTATATCATTCATACATGTGATAAGTCAAAGACCACAAAACTGTACAGCAGCCATAAAAAAAAACTGGAATTTGGGTGAAAAAACTGTACACTGCCTATCAAAAAACGGTACAATAAATGGTATAAAATATCGCTTAAATTCTGATGATAAGGCACCTTATTTCTAAACCAACAAATATATATTGGTGCAAATGTCTTATTTTAAAAGTTGTAATGGAGATTTGAATGCTTTAAAATTTCATATATTGTGTTGTATAATCACAATGTTCTTATGAATCAACTATAAATTAAGCTAGTTTAGATGATAGTTTGTTTGCCAGCTTTATATAGTATTAACGTGAGAGTCAATGTCTCCAATTTACATCTTGTTCATATTACTGATATATACATCAGCAATGCTAAATAACAGCAGTAAATACAATCATACATAAATTTCAGCACATAAAAACCATATCCTTTATTTCATCGTAATCATGGTAATAAACATCGTATATTTTATACCTACGGAGATCTGGGTCAGATTCATGTATATTAAGTCATGTATATCAACTTTAGAAGTTGGCTTAATTTTTTTCAATCAAGTTACGAAACATTAACAGTTATAATTAAGTACCCCTTTAAAAATAAAGCTACCTAAAGATAATTATCCCAATTGGCAGTTCACGCCTTCACACGCGATGGTTTGTGTACACTACACAGTTATCAGAAGGTCAAGTGTCAAACACAGGTGACGTTTTCCAGTGTCTCGAGTGTGAGAATGAGAGGAAAATGGTGGCATTTAGCGAGAAATTCAAAATACTGTACAAATTTTCATATTCCGTGAATTTTGGTGTCCTGCCGGTACACGATGAATGGGCTCGAAAAAACGGTACATTTTGCGTACCGCCTGTACATATCACATGTATGATCTTAATAAAGTCCTGATGACAATAAATGAAATCGTCCACTTTACCATTAAGTCTGAAAGTTTCTTATTATCAGCTGTTAATGAAAAGGTTTTATAATTGATTAGGACAGCCATTTTGCACTTGGATCCATGATGGCAACAACTTGGAGTTTTCTGATTCAGAAAAGCATCTCTTATTATGTTCATGTCAAAGTCCAAACCAATAACAATTTTATTCTCTTGAAAATAGAAAATAGATTTTTAATGATAAGAATTTTTAAAGATTTATGCATGTTGTAGATATTGTGGAACTATTATACTAGTATTTTGGAAAATTGTACAAAACGTGTAATATTTTTGATGACATTTTCCTTCATTATTCACTGAATGAGGACACACCAAAAAAAGATCATCTGAGTGACATTTTTTACTTGATCATGGTTGAAAGAGAATCTGGATTGACTTGGTTTTTAGTGTCCAGAATTTTATTCTGCTTTATTTTTTTTAAAAATATTTTGAATGTACACTCTTCAGTTAAGCTTTTTTTTCCCTGAAGTTATGTTTTGTTTATTGTGGCAATGAAATCATTTTCAAATCCGATGAATTTCATTTAACCACAAGACCCTGACATTAAATAATTAATTTCTATATTTAGCTTTTTGTGTCGTACTGATCCTGCTGATGTGGCTCGAGTAGAATCAAAAACGTGGATTGCTACTGATGATAAATACGAGACTGTACCACACGTACGCCCTGGAGTGAGGGGAATTCTGGGACAGTGGAAAAGTACCAAGGATCTGGAAGAAGAAGTGAATGAGGATTTTGAAGGATGTATGGCAGGTATAAAATACTGCTGTAAATTCTGTGTGTATACTGTCACTATAATTAGAAAAATTAGTTGTTTAAGACTTTTTAGATCATCTGAACTGAAAGCTCAAAGAAGCTTTTCACATTTTGTCCAACATCTATCTGTCTAGCTGTCAATCCATCCATCCGTCTATAAACTTTTCACATTTTCATTTTCTCCTCAAGAACCATGGGGCCAATTTATCCAAAATTGCCACAAAGCATCCTATGGTAAAGGGGATTCAAGTTGGTACAAATAAAGGGCCACACTCTTTTAACAGGGGATTATTAAGAATCGGTGGGAAAAAAGTCATCTTTTAAAATTTTCTTTCCACCACAGAACCAGAAGAGTGGAAACTTAAGTTTCATGACACAGTGTAAGTTCATATTGTTCAAGTCATTTCCCCCAAGGGTAGGGTGGGGCCACAACAGGCAATCAGAGTTTAACATTTGAGTATAAAGAATATCTTTTAAAATCTTCTCAGGAGCCACTGGATCAAAAGAGTTGAAACTTAAATGAAAGCTTCATTTCATAGTAAGTAGGTTCAATTTTGTTCAAATCAAGATTAAGTTTTACATAGGAATATAGGGAAAAAAATTTGCTGATGAAGAACAGCAGGAGCCACTCCGGTGAGCATTGTGGCCCATGGACTCGTCTTGATAATGAAAGCAATACATATCTTTAATTAAATCTTAGTTATAGAATCAAGTAAGATGTTTTCTCCTCCCATTTACAGGTAGAACTATGTACGTAATTCCCTTCAGTATGGGGCCTATTGGAGGACCCCTCAGTAAGATTGGTATCCAGCTGACGGACTCAAACTACGTCCTCCTCTGTATGAGAATCATGACCCGTGTTTCAGCCACGATCTGGGAGGTGCTGGGAGATGATGATTTTGTAAGATGTGTTCACTCCATGGGATGTCCTCGACCAGTCCAGAGTAAGTGTGTGTTCATACATCATAAAAAACTTGTGTTGTTTTCTTCAGTAATAATTTATAATCATATTGCTAACAAAAATACATGTGTATATATATATATATATATATATATATATATATATATATATATATATATATATATATATATATATATATATATATATATATATAATGATCCAGATAGTAATATAATAACTTAAAGATTAAAAATCAGGTGGAATATTGTGTTTTGTCTCATCGTTTGTCTGATGGGTTATGTAAACCTTGACCATAATTTTTAGGTCACAAGTCACTCATGTAAAAAGTGCAAATTTTAGGAAAGGTAATCAATCATTGGCCATGCAACCCAGACAAGATAATGATTGGACATTTCCCAGCCCGACGTGAGATTACATCATACGGCAGCGGTTATGGTGGTAACTCTCTGCTCGGTAAAAAATGCTTTGCTCTGAGAATCGCCAGTGTCATTGCCAGAGATGAAGGATGGATGGCCGAGCACATGCTGGTGAGATTTCCCCTCCTGTTGAGTTTGTCAATTATCTTTACATCTCAGATCCTCATATCTCCTGAAAATGTTTCAAACTTGTAATGTACATAATGTGAATAATTGCTTTGTTGATAAGCATTGTTCTAATGAATACTTTGTAATTGACGAGATTGGCATGTTTAGATTATGGGACTGACCAATGAAAAGACGGGGGAGGAGAAATTTGTCTGTGCTGCTTTCCCAAGTGCTTGTGGGAAAACAAATCTCCATGATCAGACCAACCATTCCTGGATATAAAGTTCAAGTCATTGGTATGAGCCATTGTCCGATATATCCGTGCATGTTTCATTTCAACTTTTTTATATTTGAAATTTGCTATCATAAGCAACAATTTACTGTAATCTTTTTAAGTTACATGGTGTGTTTTGTGGCTGGTTTATAGGAGATGATATTGCCTGGCTGAGATTTAATGAGAAAGGAGAACTCCGGGCCATTAATCCAGAAGCTGGGTTCTTTGGTGTGGCTCCTGGCACTAACATGAAGACCAATCCCAATGCTATGCTTTCCTTCCAGAAGAATTCCATCTTTACAAATGTGGCTGAGACAGCTGATGGTGGCTTCTATTGGGAGGGAATGGAAGATGAAGTTGATAAGGTAGTGGATGGTCACATAGCAAACCAATTTACAATCTCTAAATGTTTTTCTTGACTTTTCTATGCATTACGATCTATACAGTGTATTGCCATGGCTTTTATATACTGTAAATCACTTTTTATTTGCGAAAACTTTATTCTCGCATAATTACATGAGACTGTCTGCTCGCGAAAATTTCATTCTCGCAAATATTAGTATTATAAATATCATATAGAGCAATGACCGAAATTCGTGAAAATTTTGGCTCGCTTATAAATACCAAAAAACAGTCTCGCGAAAATTAAGTGATCTACAGTTCTGTAAATCATAATCAATAATGAGCTATAGCTATTTCAATTTCAACTTTCTATTTTAGTATTTTGTAAACTGGAGGGGATGGGGCACATTTGGGTCTTAGTGTATCTTGTTCTTTAGATTTCTCTAAATCAAAAATTTAAACCTTAAAATTTTTTGTGATTTAATATACGTCTTATTTTGGGGGAGGGGAAATCTGTGATTATTAGGATGTCCCCCGTTACCATTTATTAACAGCTGATCATGGTAGTTCTGTAGTTTCAGTCCTTCAGTCATAACATTCACTTTCAGAACATAGCAATTACTAACTGGCTAGGACAGCCCTGGAAGATAGGAATGCCAGGAAATGCTGCCCACCCTAATTCCCGATTCACCTGCCCGGCTGCCCAGTGTCCCATCATCCACCCCAAATGGGAGGATCCAGAAGGAGTCCCCATCAGTGCCATCATTTTTGGTGGAAGACGCCCAACAGGTATTTTACCCTTCTGAACTAGGAATACTTAACATACATGATATATCAATCTACAACAGTGTCCAGTAACAGCAGAGTACAGCAGAGGTCCTTGGGTAAGACAAAATGATGTAAATTGTACTCTAGGTCAGAGCATTGATCTGCATTTCCAACCACTGTACAGTGGGTACTGTTTGCCATGAGCTACTCCTTGGAAGGATTAATTGCATTATGAAAATTTAACACACTTTACTTAAACAATCCAGTTAGTAGCCTGGAATACCTGTTTTAGATGTATTACGAGAGTTGTTGATACTTCTCCCTGTTTGATGTGTATCACTAG